AAGTCTCTAGAGAGGGCAATGGCACCCCACTCCGGTACTCTTGCCTGGAAAATCCCATGGACAGAGGAGCCTGGTGGGCTGTAGTCCATGAGGTCGCTAAGAGTCAGACACAACTGAGCATCTTCACTTTCATTTTTCACTTTCATGCATTGGAGAAGGAAATGGCAACCCACTCCAGTGTTCTTGCCTGGAGAATCCCAGGGACGGGGGAGCCTGGTGGGCTGCCATCTATGGGGTCACGCAGAGTTGGACATGACTGAAGTGACTTAGCAGTAGTAGCAGCAGAGAAATTCAAAGATAACAAGGGAGACAAAAACAAGGACCTTAAAGGAATTTTAGCCTCTGAATCTTAAGCCTTTATCTATCAGGCAGAAAATCAGTCAATGTATGATTGAACTGAACCAGCACCATCAATCAGCTATATTAATTTGATATTTACAGATTATTTCATCCAATGACAGCAGAATACATGGTTATTCTCAAGTTTATGTGTAACATTAGCCAAAATGGACCACATTTTGGGCTATAAAACACACATAAAAAGATTCAAACAAACAGAAATCATACAAATTGTACTCCCAGACCACAACAAAATTAAACTAAAAATCAATAACAGAAAGCAGTGCTTTCTGAAGTTTACTGCATTTATAGCATGAAATAGATAATTAGAACAGAAGAAAGCTCTAAAATCAATAATTTAAGTATTCACCTTAGAAAACTAGAAAAAGAGGAGCAAATTAAATTCAAAATAAGCAGGAGAAAGAAATAAAAACAGGAAATTAAGAGAGAAAAATCACCAATACTGCAAAGTTGGTTCTTTGAAAAGCTCAATAAAATCAATAAATCTCTAACCAGGCTAAATAAGAAAAAAAGAAAGAAGACATAAATTACTAATACAAGAAACAGAAGAGGGGCCATCACTATTGATCCCATGGATAAAAAGGTAATAAAAGAGTATTATAACGAGCTCCAGCCACAAACTTGATAAATAAAATGGACCAATTCCTTGAAAGACACAATCCAGCAAAACTCACACAAGGAACAGATAATTTGAATAAGCCAATATCTATTATAAAAATTGAATCAAAAATTATTAACCTTCCAAACAAACCACTAGGCCTAAATGGTTTCACTGGTGACTTCTGTCAAGCATTTAAGGAAGAAATAATACCGAGTGCCCAAAATTTTTTTCAGAAAAAAGAAGCAGAGGGAATACTTTCTGACTGATTCCATAAGGGTAGCATTCCTGTAATAATAAAACCAGACAAAGACACTAAAAGAAAGGAAAATTAAAGAATAATATCTCTCATGAACACAGACGCAAAAATTCTCAAGAAAATATTAGCAAATTGAATGTATGTATAAAAAAATTATTCACCATAATCAATTGGAATTTAATCCAGGTATGCAAAGTTGGTTCAATGTTCTAAAATTAATATAATCCATCAAAACAACAGGCTAAACGAGAAAAAACATATTATCATAATAATAAATGTTGAGAAAGCATCTGGCAAATTCAACACTAATTCAAAACAAAACTCTATCAGCATATCTACAGAAATTAGGGGGACTTCCTCAACTTTATATATCCACAAGAAACAACAGCTAACACCATATTTGGGGCTTCCCTGCTGGCTCAGCGGTAAAACGTCCACCTCTAAATGCAGAAGACACAGGTTCGATCCCTGGGTCAGGTAGATCCCTTGGAGACAGAAATGGCAACTCCAGTATTCTTGCCTGGAAAATCCCATGGACAGAGAAGCCTAGGGGGCTACAGTCCATAGGACTACAAAAAAAGAGTCGGACATGACTTGCAACTAAACAACAACAATCCTTTTTGCCACTTCTATGTGACATCATATTCAAAGTCTTAGCTAATGCAATAAGACAAGAGAAGGAAATAAAAGGTATAGACTGGAAAGAAGAAATAAAAATAAATGAACCCAGCCATTCTACTCCTAAGTATCTACTCAAGAAAAATAAAAATATATGTCTACACAAAAACCTGGACATGAATGCTTCTGGTAGCTTCCTCCATAATCACCAAATATTGGAAACAACCTTATCTTAGTTAACTTAGCACCCTGAAACAGTAAACATGCACTATTTCACAATTTCTGAGACAGGAGTTGGGGAGCAGTTTGGTTGCCCAGTGGCTGGAGGGCCCATCCTAAGGTGGCTTAGTAATATGACTGTGGCCAAGAGGCCCCGGCTCACCACTGGCTGTTGTCAGAAGGCCATGTTTCTCACCATCTCAACCTCTCCATGGGTCCCCCTGTTTCCTCACAAAATGGGAGCTAGTCTCCCCTAGACTATGTGATCCAAACAAGAGTGTGGCAGAGCCCTGATGTCTTTTATGATCTAGTCTCAGAAATCGCATACCATCATGTCTGCCATATTCGCCGGGTCCCAGAGTCTCACCCTGACACAATGTGGGAGAGGTCATCAGAAGGGCATGAAAACCAGCAAACAGGAATCACTGGTACCGTTTGGGAAGCTGACTACCACAAACCTAAAGGTCCATTAACTGGTGAATAGGTAACCAACTGGGATACATCCATACAGTGGAATAGTAATCAGCAATAAAAAGGAACCAACTCCAAAAGGAAGAATCACAAATGTACTATACTAAGTGAAAGAAATTAAGACCTCAAAAGCTACATAAAATATGATTACATTTATATAGCATTCTGAGAAAGGTAAAAACCAAAGAGACACAAAACAGATCAAGCTGTCAGTGGTCGGGGACGGGGCAAAAGATTGACCACAAAGAGACGAGGAAATTTCTTCACACGATGAAAATGACTTGTATTTAATTGTGATGGTGCTTTGATTTGTGACGTGCTGGTTAAAATTCATATAACTATACATACAAAAAGGGTGAGCTTTTCTTAAGTAAATTTTACCTCAAATTACTTATAAAAAGAGAGAGAAAAGAATCCTAAGGGGAAACAGAAGAGGCTGGGTTGGGAAGATGGTTTCAGGAGTCTTAATGTGTAAATAGTAGAGCTTTCTGAGAGAAAAATGACTACTGAATCAATAACATTATCGTTTAAATTTCTTAAGCTAAAAAACTTTCTCTGACCTTGAGTCTACAGATTGAAAATGCCTATCATATTACAGGCTATATGGAAGAGAAAAGATACACATGTATCCTGGCAAAAGTCTTGAACTCTAAGAATCAATAGAAAGAAAGAAAGAACAAGTTACTTAGCAAGTAAGACAGACAGATATACACCTTCTTACTTGCGACATGATAAAAGGAAATGATAAACTAGCATGTACAACTTTTTGAGGAAAGGATTGCCACTCAAGAATTCTATCCCAGTGCTTGCTTTGACAGCACATATACTAAAATTGGAATGATAGCCAGAAGATTAGCATGGCCCCTGTATAAGGATGACATGCAAATTTGTGAAGCACTACATATTTATTTTGCTTTAGGTCCAGGAAAAGGATGCAGTGTTAAGTCCATAAAGAAATTTTCAGTCCCTGATGATGTGAGTTCTAGCTTGAATACTACACATTAAATGGGGAGAATTAATCCAACTTCATCCTAGTGAAAGTCTGAAGTGACACCTTTCTCAAAATAGAAAAAAAAAATGTACTTTATTACATTGGGGGGAAAAAAAAGAGAAAGAGAATTCTATCCCAACCAAGAGTACAATAAAGTTATCTGGGGATATATAATCACTCAAAAAATGTATCATTCATTTATCCCATCCAGAGAAATAGTCAAAAAAATGCTGAATCATAGAAAAAGAGGGGAGGATAAAGAGACCTTATAACATGTGCAGTTAAACTGAAGTTGATACTAGTAAAGCAATTACAAAGAGATATATAACAAATGAAAAGCCAATTAGATTTTAAAATTCCGGCAATGCAGGAAATGCAGGAAATGCTGGTTCAATCCTGGGTCAGGAAGATCCCCTGGAGGAGGAAATGGCACCCCACTCCCAGTATTCTTGCTGGGAAAATGCCGTGGACAGAGAAGCTTGGCAGGCTATGGGCCATGGGGTCACAAAGATTCGGACATGACTGAAGCAACTGAGCACGTTGTCTTATTATGTACTATGACTGTATTAAGTAACTGCTATTTTTCTCTAATCATGGTTGGAGAACATAGCAAGCAATATTTCAATCTTGAAACGTATGTCCTAGCAAATAGTCTATTTTGGTGGAAGTCCTACATGCACCGGGAATGAACATGCCTTCTACAGATGTTGCACGTAGTATTCTGACAGTGTTAGGTCAAGGTATTGTTCCCATCTTTATCTGTCCCAAATTTAACAAGTATTCTATCAACTACTGAGAAAAGAAAATCTCTAACGATAATTGCTGATATTTCCATTTCTCTTTTTATTTCATGTATTTTGAAATTATTGAATATGTACACATTTATGATTGTTTTATATTCTTAATGAACTAATCTTTTTATCAAGTGTTCCTCTTTATCTCTGTTAATTTGTTTGCTTGATGTCTACTTTATCCGATATTAAAAATCTATACCACCTATCTTACACTTCTGTTTGTAGGAAATGACTTTTCCTTTGATTTTAGTTTTATCTATTGGTTTCCTTACATTAAACTGTATCTCCTGTAATCAACATATAGTTGAAATGACTTTTATCCATTCTGACAATCTCTGAATTTTAATTAAAGTGTTTAGCTCATGTACAAAAATACATAAATAAAGCCTCTGAACAAAGGGCTTCCCTGGTGGCTGAGATGGTAAAGAATCTACATTTAATGTGGGAGACTTGGGTTCAATTCCTGGATTAGGAAGATGCTCTGGAGAAGGGAATAGCAATCCACTCCAGTATTCTTGCCTGGAGAATTCCATGGACAGAGGAGTCTGGCGAGCAAAGGGTCGCCAAGAGTCAAACACAACTGAGTGACTCACATACACACACACACCTAAACAAAACGAATATTAAAGTCGGTCCAGTGTACAAGGAAACTTTCAGTAGTTAACACAAACAGTTTCTGTTTTGTTTTACCTGGTTTGCAAGATGAGAGTGACCAAACAGCTTGTGACCCAATTTCCCGTACTGTTCCAGTCCTTTCCAACTGCTTAGGGTCAGCACCAGGAGGTGTCTTATTTGGTGTGGTCATTTTTAAAATATTCTATGTAGAAAAAAAGAATATTCACATTACACCAGGACCTGAGCATCTTTCTACAAATGGTAAAAGTTTAACAGCCAGTGTATCACTAATGTAACCTGGATAGTAACCATCTATTTTCAAGAGCAGTTGACATAACCACTGCAATTTAAAACACTTGAGAATTCAGTTTGGTTTCCACAGTGTAACATATTATGACTTACAAGTTGTGCAAAGCAGCAGAATATAGTAGTCAAAAGGCCGTAGGATCAGGATGTCAACTCAAGGTTCGCCTTTAACTAGTCTATACTTTTGAGGGGTCTGGGCTTTCCCCTTTCCTGCCAAAGGGGTTGATGTATAACTGTATAATGCTATGCAGTTCTATACCTATATGAGCAAAAATTCCAATTCAAATGAAGTTTTTTACCTAAAAAAGTCAGACTGAAATATTAATCCAGGAATATGTAAATATTGGTCTATATCTTAAATAATCCATTAAGTGATGCAGAGAAAAATCACATCTCTTCATTAATTGTCAAAAATTCCAATTACATGTGCTGTTACTATAGAACATAGTCAGAAGAATGCCTTTAATGTCTAGAAGTGAGTAACCAGCCTATTCTAAACAAGACGTCTACTTCATCTTTCACATCTTTTGTTAGTTAATCTTGCTAAGTGTGTCCAAATGTGATTAAAAAAAAAAACACCTCTTGGATAGTGAACAACATGTAAAATTGCTTCACCAATGCAGTTACAACTACTAAACATCGTTATACATACATGCTATTATGAACCTGGCCCAGAAGGTTTGTATACTGTCTCCTTGATATCCACCTCCTGTCAGATCTGTTGTTCTCTAACTGTTCACACTCGACACTCTTTAAATAATACCAGACACTGAGCTACAAACTGGAAAGGACTGAGGCTTAAATGATCCATTAGCAGTTTTCTGAATGAGTACATGGATGAATGGATAGGTTCAATAATAAACTAAAGTATTGCCACATGCAAGTTAAGTAAGATCTAAGATGAGGGAATTAAACCTACGGTCACATCTTCAAATGTCCAAAAATGTCAAACTGTGCCCCCCCAAAGGCCCATCTCTATTTTGGAGCGGAATTCAACTGCCGAACTTGGTACTGGACGCCACCAAGTGGAAAAAACACGGAGCTCGAAGGAGAATAGGTTCCTGGTCATTCCGTTCAGGAGCTAAGGACAAGGAGAGAATGCCACCGCGAGCAGTGTCTAGTGCAGACTGTCGGTTCTGCTGGACACCTCTGCCAGAAGTACTAGAATGGACATCCATTTCTGACCCACCGGCCTTGAGGAAATGGCGTAAAAGAAGGCTGGCAACGGAGAAGAGAAGGTATTCCCTTAAGCTAGAACCACTCTCCCCGTCCGGGAAAGCCCACGCACTTACAGCTCGCGGACTCTGCTTGCCACCACTCAGCTTTTCAGGATCCGCCGCAGCTCCGCGCCACTCCCACTCGGCTTCCCAGGCCCGCCTATCTTCCCCAGAGACGTCACTGGGGTCGCAGTGCAATGACGTCAGTCCCAGCCACCTCTCCCTACTTCTTTCCACAGCTCCGCCTGGCGCGCCCTGGCGCGCACGCGCATTACGTCCTTGTGGCATGCGTGAGGCGGCGGCTGGGCACCGCCATTTTGGCCGGTGGCCGCAAGGAACACGCTCTGTGGCTGAGAAGTGAAAACCAAGCGCTGATTTGATCTCTGCGTTCCCCTCCGCAAGGGGAATCTGTTTCTCCAGGTATGTGAATAGCCTGGAGGGGTTTGGCCTTTAGCTGCAGTTTGCCACGGTCTAAACACCGTGGGGACATTCTCCGCGAGCCTTTGGTTAGGCCTCAGGTGGCGGCGGCAGTGGCGCGTGGCAGCCGGTTTGGACGAGACAGCTGGAACCGCCGAGCGTGGAGGCGCCTAACGCTTTGCCTCTGGCTGACCCGGCTCTCGGTCGCTGTGGCCCGCCACCCCCGCCAGGGGACACGGAAATGGATATAGGTGCCATTCTCTCGGTGGTCCAGTCCCCGCCGCCTCCACTCCCCGCCTTGACTCCGCACCTCCCCTACCACTGAATCTTTATGAGACCCGCCTTTATAACTTAGAGCGTCCCCTATTGCCCCGGCTCTTCTGGCAGAGGTGGAAGCCTTTTCTTCGCTGTTTGGGGATTGTGGAATGAGTCACGGCATCTTACCGCCAAGAAGCCGGATCCTCCTCGTCCACTCCCAGTCTTTGTAGAAACGATGGCCACATGTCACTGGGTTTATCTCACAGCAGGTGTACTCTGCTGTCACCATGGTGATCTCAAATAATCTCCCAGTTGAACGCGTTTTGCATTTCGCGAGAGTTTTTATGACACTTGGTGATTGCTCCGATTTCCCCCTTATTATATCTTAAAACCCTGGAGATCAGGTTCTGTGTTTTTACTGAAAGTACCTTTATTTCCCCTTCAGTAGTTCGTGCATCGTGGGAGCGACGGCTAAAGTCAGTTCCCACATCCCATAAACTACTTAAGCACGTTTTCTCATTTTTTACGGTAAAATCGGTAAGAGAGAGAAATAACTGTCAAAACACTGTTTTTGGTTTTATTGGGGGGAGAGGTGCTTTCTCTTCCACAGAACTGCTAACTGCATTTATGACAGTAGCATCTGTTTTGTAGTTCTCAGTACTTCTGTCCCTGGTTCTGAGAATATTCATTCTGTATCAACTACTTGACGATAATGCTTCGTTTTTGTCAGTATTAACCAAGGGCTCTTCTCTTTGGCTACCCACTCCAGTATCATTGCCTGGAAAATCTCATGGACAGAGGAGACTGGTGAGCTGCAGTCCATGGGGTCGCAAAGAGTCGGGCACTACTGAGCGACTAACACACACTTTTCCTATCCGAACCAAAAAGTGTTGTTTGTTTTTGTTTTAGTTAAAAGCCTGTTCTCCCCTATAAAAGAATTTTTTTAGGAAGAATATTTAATATAATTGCTGGTATGGGGCAAGGAGAAAGTGGTATTAATTTAGTGTCCCTTCTAATTGTCTTCAGTTTAAGACTCTGAAATCAGGGTTGTGCACCACTCCCAACTTACACGTTTTATAAATGTAATAACCTGCAATAGCATAGAATTTTAGAATATTTCACATGACATAAGCATAATTCATTTTCAAATGCTTTCACAGGATGTAAAAATAATTTTGGCTTTAGACTACAAAGTGAAAAGTCGCTTAGTCCTGTCCGACTCTTTGCGACCCCATGGACTGCTTCTTGAGGCCAGATTACTGGAGTGGGTAGCTTTTTCCCTTCTCCAGAGGATCTTCCCAACCCAGGAATCAAACCACATTTTCCTGCATTGCAGGCGGATCCTTTACCAACTGAATTCCTTGGTGGTCCAGTGGTTAAGACTTTGCTTCCCTGCTGGCTCAGACGGTAAAGCAGCTGATTCGATCCCAGGGTTGGGAAGATCCCCTGAAGAAGGAAATGACAGCCCACTCCAGTATTCTTTTCTGGGAAATCCCGTGGACAGAGGAGCCTAGTAGGCTACAGTCCATGGGGTCGCAAAGAGTGGGACAGGACTGAGTGTTTCTTTCATTAGACTACAAATGCTTTCTATAAATGTCTCACTTCCTTTTTTCCTCTCAGCTGGAAGGATGATAGAGGTCATTGTTTAAGTACCTGTTTTCACCAGTTTTCAGATTTGAGATAGCTTCAGATCCCTGTTCCAGGGCGTCTGTAACTACAGTCTTCCCCTCCAAGCTTTCCTGTACTGTATCTTTCTCACTGAAAAAGAAAGGAGGGCATCCTTCTTCCCAATTCTTGAAACTTACATAGAAATTTAATTAACAGTAGTGTCTACAGTTTGCTCTCTTAATTAACAGTTCTACAAAGAATCTGTATTCATTTTTCTTAACTGCATCATAATTTATCATTTTAAAATATAAATCAGCTTTTTAACCATCTCTGCTGCTGCTGCTGCTAATTCACTTCAGTCGTGTACGACTCTGCGCGACCCCATAGACGGCAGCCCACTAGGCTCCTCCATCCATGGGATTTTCCAGGCAAGAGTACTGGAGTGGGTTGCCATTGCCTTCTCTGTAACCATCTCTAGTATGTTTTATTTGATAAAAATCATCTCGACAGTCATTTGGTTTTTTAAATGGTTTGAAATAGCAGTTGAAACAATTTAGTAGTTTGGCAGAAATAAACCTTATTGTAAACAGTTTCATTGATAAATCAATGGAGATTTATCCTTTGCAGGGGAATTAATCATGCTTATTCACCATAATTTGTATGATCTCTAGTTTTATTATTTTTAATAGCTGAAGAATCTTCAGTCTCTTGTGAATTGTCTCTTCTAGAATGATAGCTTTTTTGGTAGCAATTCATAAATCACTTATTTTCTTATGCTGATCTTTAGATGAGTTTCTAAAGGTTATAAAGAGGTAAAGTGAACCTATCCATTAGTGTAACTCTGTTACATACAATGTTTGTCTCATTTTGGGTGATTTTTAAAAATAACGTACTTTAGTGTTTAACTGTCACTATAATGGTAACTTGCAAAGACTCCTGAAGCTGTTATAACCTGTAGGAAAATTTTTTACTATTATTTAAATTCATTTTCTCATTTCATTCACTAGAAATGTTTGCATTCCTACTATGTGGTAGACACTGGTCCAGCCACTGGAATGAACAAACAAAAATTCCTACACTCATGATGGAGTACTTTGTAGTTGGAGAGGGAAAAACATTGCCTGTGTGTAGAGAGAGAGAATACATAAATGCATATACACACACAGTAAATTGTTGTGTCAGACTCTTTGCGACCCCATGGACTATACAAGGGGAATTCTCTAGGCCAGAATACTGGGGTGGGTAGCCTTTCCCTTTTCCAGGGGATGGATCTAACCCAGGTCTTCTGCATTGCAGGGATTCTTTACCAGCCAAGCCACAAGGGAAGGCCAAGAATACCGGAGAGGGTAGCCTATCCCTTCTCCAGTGAATCTTCCCGATCCCGGAATCAAACCAAGGTCTCCTGCATTGCAGGCAGTTTCTTTGCTAACTGAGCTATGAGGGAAACACTATATATACCGTATACATACATGTGTATGAAATATATACTATGTAATGTGGTAGAAAGAGCTAAGAAGAATAAAACAAGGCAGTTTTATAGCTAGAGAAGACTCACTGAGAATAAACATTAAAGACTTGAAGGAGTGGGCCGTGTGACTCACTAGTGGGAGCAGCATTACTGCAAAGGGAGCAGAAAATGCTAAGACCCTGAAGCAAATCCTGGCAACCATTTGCTTTAGCCATGTAAAAAACAGATGACCTGACAAGCTGTTTTCATGGAAGGATGGACCCTAATGTCTGCAATGGATTCCAGAGAAAATACCTAGAGAAATGTGAAACACTGACTGTAGGCAACTCTTAGGTCTGAGGTTATTGATATTTCTCCTGGCAGTCTTGAGTCCAGCTCGTGCTTTTACATAGCCCCTGCCTGAAAAGGTGGGGAAATGAAGCAGTGGAGGAGGTTGGGGCAGACAATGAAGGGTTCGGATTCTGGGGATAAGCTGGTGGGAAGACTGAATAATTGATGATGTTAAAGACAGGAAAAAGAATTGTTGTACCCTTCTCCTTGGTGGGTGGATATCTTTTAGTTTGCAAAGGGACTTAGCTATGGAAATACATATAGTGTGGTGGCTAATTGGCATAAAGGCTCACTTGAGATGATACTAGTCAGCATGGCTCTGTTTTTTCTCTTGCCATCTGTGTGCAGATGAGGAGTTGAATTTAACCAGAATTACAGATGAGGGTGTAAGTGACTGACAATTTTAGGTGGGTACAGAAGACATCGAAGATACAAAGGGATAAAGGACAGTGGAAATTTGATAGAATCTAGAGACAGTTACAGGTCTGAGGAATGAAGGGAGTTCAAAGGGTTGTTGGATTGTTGTGTGTGAGTGGTGAAGTGAAAAAATAGAAATGGTGGTTGGAGAATGGGGTATTTGAAAGGTCGGTTATAGAAAAATGCAGTTATGCAAAATGACAAGGTAAAGGATTTGGCCAAAGGAAGAAGGGCTAGGGTAGGGTAAAAGACAAGCTCACTAGAGAAAAGTGGTTAATAAACTGAGATGACAGGCTATTAATAGAAGGATCATCTATGAACATATTGAAATCACTAAGTATTATGACAAGAGTTGTTAAAGAGTGAACATTAGCCAAGGGCTGGCGTCTTCAAAGGATGGGAGGGACTGAAATGGTTGGAAATAACTAAAGCAGATGGATGACCTAAGAAGCAAAAGCTTGATGTTTTTAATGAGAAGGGAGAGATAATAATTGTCTGGAAGCAGCAGTAAAAGCAACATCTCTTAGTTCCCTCCAAGCCTAATGATATTGAAGGGATGTGAGAAAGACTGGAAAGTAATATAAGAGGAAGCTTTCGGTCAAGAAATACCTGGATGGTGGTTCCTGGTCATGATAGAAAAAGCCAACAGAATGTCTTTGTTGATCAGTAATCTTTTGGCTTGAGGTTCTTTCATTACATTTTGGAATAAACTGGAGTAGTAAGGCACTTGTTGGAATTACTTTGATCACATTCTAAGAACATTAATGTCTATCACTAAGCCCAGTATATAGAAGATTAAGTTAACTTTGACTTCAGCTCTGTAATTTATGGTGCTTTAAAAGCACCAAATACTATATACGTAAAGCTTCAAAATTATATATGTAGAGTTACTTGGTTACTTGGTCTCTTTTGTGTGTGCGGATCATTTGTAAAGTCTTTATTGAATTTGTTACAGTATTGCTTCTGTCTTATGTTTTGGTTTTTTGGCTGCAAGGCATGTGGAATCTTACCTCTCCGACCAAGGATCAACCCTCACCCCCTTACATTGGAAGGCAAAATCCTAACCTCTGGACCTCCAGGGAAGTCCCTGGTGTCCTTTTCATATCAGTGCAGTTAACATAAAATTCATCTTCACTATATTTTCAGTTCCCAGGGAAAGCAGTTTTTACTTTTTTTTCCAGTTGACCAACATAGTGGTTAAACCCTTAATAATTGCCATTTCCATCAGTAGTGTCAATAGTCAAATAGATAAGATAGGAAGTGATGATTAGTTTGAGGGAGAAGTAAACATCATTATCATATGTATGTTTCATGTCAAGTCTTTCTGTTCTGTTTTATTGGTTTGTATTCATCCACTGGTATCAGCATTAATTACTTAGGCCTTATATCAACTTTTTTTTCCATATGTCAAGTATAGGTTTCCCTGACCCCTTACTCTTTTCCCATTTTCCTCGCTATTACTACTTTTTGCATAAGAGCTTTAGATTTGATTTGTCTGATTCAGTTTTTTCCCTTTGAGATTGAATTAAATATATAAATTCAGGGAAGATTGAAAACTATGATATTGACTTCTCTTTTGTGAAAACTGAGACAGCATACCATTTTATTTGTTCAGGTCTTTTGTGTCTTTCAGTGGTAATTTTGAGTTTCATCACATGTGTGTATGTTGTTGAAAGAACTATTTTTTTCCTTCATATAAATTTTCTGATTCATGGTATATAAATAAAATATTGTTTTTCCAGCCATGACAAGTTATTTTATTGCTTTCACTAGTTTTTTTTTTTTAATTAGTTCCAGGTATTAATATCTGAAATAGTGATATCTCCTCTCGAACTATTGATGCCTGTGACTTACTTCTCTTAATAAACTGCATTGACTATGCCATAATTTTGTTAATCTTTTCTTTAACAGAGGAACTGGATATTCTTTCTTCCTTAGAATCATGGCAGATAAGTTAACAAGAATTGCTATTGTCAACCATGACAAATGTAAGCCTAAGAAATGTCGGCAGGAGTGCAAGAAGAGTTGCCCTGTGGTTCGAATGGGTAAGCTGTTCTGTGGGTCATTCAAGGAGAAGAGAAAGTTTTAAAAGAATCACCTTTTAAATATCTTTTAACATTATCTTCACGGTTCTCTAGACTTTGGTGTACACTTTTCACCCCTGTTGGTTTTTTTAAAATGTAATAATAAGACCAGATTTTATTTTAAATTTCTTTTAATACTTTGTGACTAAATGATCCTGTTTAAGTTCAGTTCAGTCACTCAGTCGTGTCCAACTCTTTGCGACCCCATGAACTGCACACAGCACACCAGGCCTCCCTGTCCATCACCAGCTCCCGGAGTTTACCCAAATTCATGTCCATTGAGTCGGTGATGCCATCCAACCATCTCATCCTCTGTCATCCTCTTCTCCTCCTGCCCTCAATCTTCCAGCATCAGGGTCTTTTCAAATGAGTCAGCCCTTTGCATCAGGTGGCCAAAGTATTGGGAGTTGAGCTTCAACATCAGTCCTTCCAGTGAGCATCCAGGACTGATCTCTTTTAGGATGGACTGGTTTGATCTCCTTGCAGTCCAAGGGACTCTCAAGAATCTTCTCCAACACCACACTTCAAAAGCATCAGTTCTTCAGCACTCAGCTTTCTTTATAGTCCAACTCACATTCGTACATGACTACTGGATAAACCATAGTCTTGACTAGACAGACCTTTGTTGACAAAGTAATGTCTCTGCTTTTTAATATGCTGTCTAGGTTGTCATAACTTTCATTCCAAGGAGTAAGCATCTATTAATTTCATGGCTGCAATCACCATCTTCAGTGACTTTGGAGGCCAAAAAAATGAAGTCTGCCACTGTTTCCACTGTTTCCCCATCTGTTTGCCATGAAGTGATGGGACCTATTGCCGTGATCTTAGTTTTCTGAATGTTGAGCTTTAAGCCAACCTTTTCACTCTTCCTCTTTCGCTTTCATCAAGAGGTTCTTCAATTCTCCTTCACTTTCGGCCATAAGGGTGGTGTCATCTGCATATCTGAGGTTATTGATATCTCTCCTGGCAATCTCGATTCCAGCTTGTGCTTCATCCAGCCCAGCGTTTCTCATGATGTACTCTGCATGTAAGTTAAATGAGCAGGGTGACAATATACAGCCTTGACGTACTCCTTTTCCTGTTTGGAACCAGTCTTGTTCCATGTCCAGTTCTAACTGTTGCTTCCTGACCTGGTCTGGTATTCCCATCTGTTTAAGAATTTTCCACAGTTTATTGTGATCCACACAGTCAAAGGCTTTGGCATAGTCAATAAAGCAGAAATAGATGGTTTTTTGGAACTCTTGCTTTCCCAATGATCCAGTGGATGTTGGCAATTTGATCTCTGGTTCCTCTGCCTTTTCTAAAACCAGTTTGAACATCTGTAAGTTCACGGTTCATGTATTGTTTAAGTTCATTGACTGTAAAATCAAACCAATGTTCAAATTAGTGAGAGTCTTACAGTTCTACAAAATCCTGTAGTTACTTTAAGTCATGAAGAAAGAACTACCACGATGTTTGTGTTTGATAATCTTTTTGAAAACAGCTTAATATGAATGACTGCTCATGAGCTTTTGCTACATTTTCAAGATTAAATTCTCAAAAATTCAGAAATGGTAGTCTCTAAAGGCTATGCTAAATAATTGTTACTTTAAATATACTAGTGAGAAATAAACTCACTAAATCTTAAAAGAAACTTTAGATGTCATGTCTTGCAGTCTACTGTGCTATTCAGAAATGCAATTATTGGTATTCTTAATGCTAAATTTAATTTAGTCTGTGGGTTAGATGCATGTCTTTGGGGAGCTTTCCTGATCTAGCTAATGTATTTCAGTCTCCTGTCAGGTGTACATTACCATTGTGAAGGCATATTTTGTGGATTAACTATTCAGGTTAGTCAACTTTTAGGATCAGAAATAGCAACCCCTGGGACTTCCCTGGTGGTCCAGTAGCTAAGACTGTATGTATGCTCTCAATGCAGGGAGCCATGGTTTGAACCCTGGTCAAGGAGCTAGATCCCACGTGCCACAGCTAAGATCCAGTGCAGCCAAAGAAAAAATAAGTAAATATTAAAAAAAAAAAAGAAGAAGAAGAAGTGGCAATCCACTCCAGTATTCTTGCCTGGAAAATTCCATGGATGGAGCCTGGAGGGCTGCAGTCCATGGGGTCACAAAGAGTTGGACATGACTTAGTGACACAGTCAGTGACAACAAATACTTTAACCAGCATCTTCTTTTAGTAAATTAAAAAGCATATTAGTCACTTCTGTCTTGCATGACGAATATTCATATAAGTAAATAAGTTCAGCAGTCTATCCATACAAAGCACTGATTTAAGATGTTATCTCAAATGTATTTCTTTTTGTGATCTTTGAAAATTTGATTCTGTATGGAAATTTGGAACCAGAATTGCTGAAATAACAGTGTTGTCAGAAAACTAGACTATCAGAAGAAATGACTTAATTCTGTCTTTTCCTTTGCAGGAAAATTATGCATAGAGGTTACCCCCCAGAGCAAAATAGCCTGGATTTCTGAAACACTTTGTATTGGCTGTGGTATTTGTATTAAAGTAAGTGGTATTTTATTTATTGTATTGTAACCTAAAAATGAAATCTAAAAATTCTGAATACATTATAAATGTTTTAAAGAGCCAAGTATGAAACAGAGAAAAAAGAATACAAATTTAGAAAAATGATTTTCTTATATCAGTAATAGTACTGCAGTTTCAATTAATTAAGCCACCCCATTTAAATGTTATCCTTTAAAAAAAATAATAATAAAAGTTATCCTTGCTGTATGTAATTTTGTAAAGCCATTTCCAACCAAAATTAATTTCTCTTTTTCATCCTCCTATGAGAAGAACATTCTCCAAATCTTTACCAGAACTCTTTGGGAATATAAATACAAAAAATGAGTCATATTATATATTATTTTTTTTCAAGTCTGCTCAATTTTAAATTCACACTTTTAAATAAAAATGAACACAGCCAAAAACTTTTCTTAGTTTAACCTAATCCTGAAGTGCTGCTTTTGCTGTATTCTTTTATTGTTGAATTTACCCCAACAGTGTAGTTTTTCAAAATACTTCAGTTTTTGATATATTGAATAGTTTAATTAGGACTTTTTTCTAAGAGTGATGGATTTCCAACTTTGGTTCTTAAAAGATATTTAGGAGCCAGAGTATAAAGTTCTTAAATTCGTTATTTTTTATTTGCACATAATATATTTTAGAAAGGACCTTTCCTGGAATATGGCTACCACCTATTATTTTTTCTAATTAGGCTCAAGTATATTTTAAATTGGCTTCTGAATTTTCAGTTAAGTATCCAAAAGTACCAAGCTTGATATCTGAAAGCGTTTTTTCTTCTTTTAATAGTATAAGCAGGAGACATTTCTTCCAGCAAGTATTTTTTGCCTGCCAATGTTGTGGGTGCTGGAAATCTTATTTTGAACACTATATTTGATTTTATTTTCTTTCTTGGGCTACTATAGAATATTGAGATTCCAGAATGTGGGTATGTACTCCATGGCAGAAAAGATACTGATGTAATTGATCTCTTTGGGGAGCGGGGTAGTGTATACTCCCTGAACACAGGATATTTGTAATGCACCATGTATGTGAACAACATAGATATTTTTTCTTTGAAGATTAAGAGAAGCTTAGATTACTTGCAGCCTATAAGCATTTTATGAACATTGATGGAGTAATAGAGAATTCTGTAAATGGCAGTGACTCTATTTGTAAAAAAAAAAAAATCTTGTGTAAGGAATTACACTTTTTGTTAGAGGTTGATTATTTTGCTTGAAAGTAAGAGTTTTGTTTTTTAAACTTCTGTGTTCTTATAACTTAGAAAATGGGAATTCACTGAAATCTTTGTATATAGACTTTTGAATTAGTTCCCTAAGCTCATTGAACAGTTCTATCAAACAAATTTCTAATCTGCATTTATACATTTTGCTTGTACCCTTTTGGTTTTATCTGTACTTCTGAGGAATTTTTCTAGCCACACTACCGCTCTTAAATCACCATCCAATTTTTACCATTCTTGTTCCTTGGGCATTTATCTGATTGACAGTCACCATTTGAATAAGTTTTTCTATGAATAAATGTTTTTCTTTTTATGTGAATTTACTCACTTGGAGTATGAACATCTTTTTCATGTGGGATGGTTAAAAATCACAATGGTCCTTGCTCTGTGCAGATACTACGCTAGCTGTTGTTGAGACGTACATAAATAGACCAAAAAATGTACAAACCATGACCTTAAAGGACTTTACAGAGTTGAAAAGGAAGCATACAGAAGGCAGGAAGAAGGAAATAAAGGGAAGACATTTCTCATTGACTGTATATGAAATTGTACACTCAATAGAAAGAAAAGAAAGACAGTACCAAGTGTGTCCGACTCTTGCGATCCCATGAGCTGTAGCCTACCTGGCTCCTCTGTCCATGGGATTCTCCAGGCAAGAATACTGGAGTGGGTTGCCATTGCCTTCTCCAGGGGAACTTCCCAACCCAGGAATTGAACCCAGGTCTCCAGCATTACAGACAGAAGCATTACTGGCTGAGCTATGCCAGATAATCAAGTTTTATCTTGCTCTTAACCTTCTTTTATCTAATAATATTTTTTTTTTAATGCAAAATTCTGTCTCCAGGTCTGTAAGGTTTTTCACTAAGTGTTAAACAGATTAAATCTCCAGCATTTTGCCAGTTACTAAGGGGAATACAGATTTATTAGATACAATTCTTGCCTTCAAGTAACTTAACTTTTTTAAGGAAAGGAAGTGAAACAGTTCTTAACATCTGTGTGAAACTCCCACATTTGGAAAATTAATTATAAAAACTTCTTAATCTATTCGTTTTAGTCATGCATATATTTCTAAAAATTAACAGAAACTTAATTCTTTATTTTAAATAACAGAAATGCCCGTTTGGCGCCTTATCAATTGTCAACTTACCAAGCAACTTGGAAAAAGAAACAACACACCGATATTGTGCCAATGCCTTCAAACTTCACAGGTATATTTCCAAGTCAACATTCTTCTTTACTTCAGTCAAGAGTAAAATACATTTGAAATTTTCAGAGAAATACAAAAATGGAAAAAAAAAAAGTGGTAATAACTTTTGCATCCACTAAAGCAAAATGTAATATTATAACATCATGCAGAATAGCATTGTATATGTCAGTGGTTCATTCAGGCTGACATTAAAATTTCCTGAGGGTCTTTTTAAAAGTACTCATGCCCAGGTAATTTCAACCCTGTTGAATTACATCTTACTCTGGATGTATAGTCTGGACGCGAGTTGAAAAGGCTCCCAGGTGATTCTAATATACAACTGGGATGAGAATCATTATTGTTATAAAATCCTTCTCCCCAAAATAATTTTGGGACCTTGTGTTGATTTGATTTATCTATTAATCTCATGATCTACAGAGAATATTTCCCTGAGCTTCAACATGTACTGTTACTGACAGGCATTCTTTGAGGTTTTTAATCTGTTGAACACTAGTATTTTGAATCTGGGAGTCTAGGTTTAACTAATAAAAAGGTATTTCTCAACCTGCCAGCTTTAAGGGGCCCTACTGCAGCAGGGAGTATGAAGTGGAATATTTCTGGTTGATGTGGCACTTCTCTCCTTGTAAGTAAATGGCAGGCCAAAAAAAAAGAAAGAAGGAAAAAGACTGTGAGGTTGCACCTGCTCTGCAGTTTTGTACCAAAGCATTTTATTGTACATTAAAACTGAGCCTTATATGTGAAGAAAAATTGTTACTTTAGACTTTGAGTGAAAGTTGAATAAGTAAAATTTGGAGTAATATTGGTCATGGATGCATTTCTAACAATTAACAGTTGAAGTTAATCTTGGCTGCTGCTTTTGGCTTTTTCTAATAGCCAATAATATCTGGCATATTTCTCTTTTGGCTTATTAATGAATGTGTGTGGCGTGCAAGTGCATCAGAAGACATCGTTCTGGTATTATGTAGCTTTTTCTACCTAAGTGAGTTGTTTCATTATTTTTGTACACTTGTGACAGGTTGCCTATTCCTCGTCCGGGTGAAGTTTTGGGATTAGTTGGAACTAATGGTATTGGAAAGTCAACTGCTTTAAAAATTTTAGCAGGAAAGCAAAAGCCAAACCTTGGGAAATATGATGTATGTATTACCACCTTTTAAAAATGAGTATCTTGGGTCAGTTTTATGAGGCTATGAAGGAGAGAGTATGTGTGATTTTATTTTTTAATGTTCTTATTTTCAAGATTATTTGTGTAATTAATGCTGAGAAACTATAAACGAAACTCCTTTTTAATTAAAAATGTGTTAATGCTACTTAATTGATAATTCTAAGATTTTGTAAACTGTTATGAAGTGGTATTCCTTGATTTGAAAAAAAATCCACCTCTGGTGTTATTAGTATGTTAGAAGCAAAAGTATTCTATTTGTATGTATGTTCTATTTTGTATAACATTTATCCTCTTTCTATTATATTACTAAATTCAGATAACTCTACATACATTTCTAGGATCCACCTGATTGGCAAGAAATTCTGACTTACTTCCGTGGATCTGAATTGCAAAATTACTTTACCAAGATTCTTGAAGATGACCTAAAAGCCATTATCAAACCTCAGTATGTAGACCAGATTCCCAAGGCTGCAAAGGTCAGTTGCTTTTTAGGAGATGTGTAGTGGGTATTACAAATATTGGTGGACATATGAAAGATAAATCAAAGTAAACTTGTTTTACTTTGTGACTCTTCTTAATGTTGAAGGGATTAGTATTGAAGGAAAATAATAGTAACTGTTACTAATATATTGTGACAGGGGACTGTGGGGTCTATTTTGGACCGAAAAGATGAAACAAAGACACAAGCAATTGTATGTCAGCAGCTTGGTAAGTGTTTATTTTGTGTATGTGTTTTAATAGGCCATGAACTTAACTCATAAAGATTGATATCTTTATATGGATTACTGAAATAAATGGGAAAATCTCTAGTAATTGTCATACTTTCAGCTGAAATATTCAAATGCTGGATGATTTGCAATGCACATTTTACCCTGAAGAGGTAAAATAGAATAACATTAAAGACGATTCCTCTTACAGATTTAACCCATCTGAAAGAACGCAATGTTGAAGATCTTTCAGGAGGAGAGTTGCAGAGATTTGCCTGTGCTGTCGTTTGCATACAGAAAGCTGATATGTAGGTTACTTTATATTCTTGTAAATCTTATCCTTACTTTAGAGTTTTTATTTATAATGCTACTAAAAGAGCAGTGGTTTGGATAAATTGTTAATAATAGAAGTAGTGAATGTTTTAACTTTTGAGTTCAGATGTTGAAGCAGCTGTGCATCCATTGCACATTCCCCTTGTTACTCCATCAGGGTTAAAAACTTCACAGCGTATGAATTCTAGAGCTTTTTAATATAAAGTCAGGTATTTTGTAAACTTTTTATACATAGGAAGATTATTTTTTTAAGATGTAAGCTCTCCAGCCAGGCCAGCAAGGTTTTTAATAGTTGAAGTGGAACATGAGGTCTTTAAGGTTATCCTAAATCAGGGTGGCGTGCCATGTGAGAGACAAATATAAAGGCAAGTTTCCTTCCTACCTTTTAATGCCTCTCTTTTCCCAGATAGTTTTTGCTCTCATCTTTTTCTACACTTCTACGCTGGCATCCATTGCAGGCTAGTAAAGTATTCTGTAATTCTGTGCAGGGCCCTCCTTTCCAAAAACTGTTTGCTTTAGTGCAATTGACTTCAGCCAATTATAAGAGAAGCACTCTGAATTACTTTGGAATATATCAGAATAGTTTTCGTGAGGAGATAACAGTTTGTAAGTTAGCCTAATCTGCAAGTCTCTCCCCAGACTTGATATGCCGTCCTGCTCTTCATAATTTCTTCTTTCTACTTCTGAACAGAATATAGAAATTTTTGTTGTTGTTAAATCAGAAATATTTCAGTGCTTTAACATGCAAGATAGAATTATCATCATACTTGCCTTTCATATTATGTTTGCTTTTCTTTTTCATAGTTTCATGTTTGATGAACCTTCTAGTTACCTAGATGTCAAGCAGCGTTTAAAGGCTGCTATTACTATACGATCTCTAATAAATCCAGACAGGTAAGTAAGATTTGGCATATGCTTATACTGTTATGTTTGAAAAGTTTTACAGATTTTTAAAGATTCAGCACCAGAACCATCAATGTCGTATACATGTGCATATATTCCATCTTGGTTTTTGAAGCTATCACTTGAGCTTAACCTTCCTCTGTCTAGAACAGAAATTCTTAATGCAAGATGCATTTACTACCATACCTGTTTCCAGGGAGCCTAAGAGTACTCTGTAGTGGTATGCAAATTTTTGACATATTTTTATGGATTTCCAGGAAGCAGATCCTTAACTTTTGTCAGATCCTCAAATGGATATGTCACTTATACACATCATTTAGAACAGAGAGATTCTAGTTGTCCCAGGTCTCTACTGAGCATAAAAGAGTTCTTAAAAACGTCTTCTTAAGTAGTCACAACATCATGTATTCATAGGATGCTGTTGTAGTTTGCAGAGTTTTAATATCCGTTATCTCATCTGAGCCTTATTAATCTTATAAGTTAGAATCTTTAGGTGGTATTCCCATATTGCAGATGAAGAAGTTTAAGGTCAAAAAAATTCTAGGTTTCGAATTTATGATATGGCAAGACTATGACCAGAACACAGGGCATTTTTCCTGCCTAGCATTTTCTGTTCCTCTCTTTAGTAGATGATTTCATAACTTCTTTCATAAGAGAGATCCCTGGGGCTCAAAAAGCAAACAGGGAACTATCCCCTGTAATTACAGGGGAGAGATAGGATGGCTTTCTTGGAGGGCTGTGCTTCTCTCTGTAGTAAGTCTCGAGCTTTAACCACCCTTTGTGGGCAGGTGGCAGGGCCTTCTTTTGAATTATCACACAAAATGCCAGGACTCTCAAACAACTGCTTTCTCAGCAAAAGAGTAAACACATGAGGATGTCAAGGAAACATACTCCTGTCACTCCGCGAGAGCCTTGGGAATTAGAGGGATGGTTCCCCTTCAGATCTGTTCATGGACTGCAGCTCACATGGATATGGAATTGAAATTTATGTAATCAGGGATGTCTAAAAACCCTCCATGCTAAGAAAGTAACACAGAGAGTCCTGGAATCTTCAGTTCTATGGTATGTAGACGACACAAATATAAAAACACTCTAGAGGCATATGCTCTCAACCCTGGTCACACAGGATTTCTACAGGTAAAGACCAAGAGCTTTAAACCCAGAGTTATAAATAATAGAAGGAAACTGTACAAGTGAGTCAGTAAACACAACAAACAGCAGGATTTAGATCTTCAAGAACTAAGTGACATTCTCAAAGAGACTATAAAGTAATATTTAAGATAATTCAAAACATAAAGATTTAAAGCTCTAAGAATATAATACTACAAAAAAGGTAATAGCTAAATGTTTAAAAAACCCAAACAAATCTAGAAATTAAAAATACAGTCATGACACTGAAAACTCACTGGACAGATTAGACAGGTTAGGGACAACAGAAGAGCATCAGAAACTTTAAAAGTTGACCTGGGCAGGCTACCAGAGTACAACAGAGAATGAGACGGAAAATCAGGAGGGAGATTCAGGGACATGGAGAATAGAATGAGATAGAGAACAGAATGAGAAGATGATTACATATGTCTTTATAGGCATCTGAAAAATAAAACTGAAAAGACAATGGCTGGGTATTTTCCAGAGTTGAAAAACTTGACTCCTTAGATTCAAGGAACAAATGATTCCTGTACATACTTTGAAGTAAAACTTAGAATATCAGTAATAAAGAGACAGTCTTAGTTGAGGTAAATGGTGACCATAATTTTCACTCCATGCATAGGTCAGGGCATTATGATAGGCTCTTTGGGAAATTGTTGCTGCTGTTTAGTCACCAAGTCATGTCCAGCTCTTTGCGACCCCATGGACTGTACCCTACCAGACTCCTCTGTCTGTTGGATTTCCCACGTGAGAATACTGGGGTAGGGTACCATTTCCTTCTCCAGGAGATATTCCTGACCCAGGGATTGAATGCACAGCTTCCTGCATTGGAAGTTAGGTTCTTTACCACTATGCCACCCAGGCAGAAGCCCCTTTGGGAAATGTAAGAGTATAAAATGCAGTCCCAATATTCAGGGACCTTAGGATCTGTAAATTAAAGAATACATAAGCAGAGAAATAAAAGGATAATAATTTAAAACCAGGTGACATGTATTCAGTCAAGTCACTACTTTCTTCGTTATGAGAGGGCAGTACATAGTGGTAAAAGGGATAACATACCACAACAGATTAGATTGACAAAGTGAAGAAAATGATGGTTAGGTGTTTTCTCAGTTGTGCTGGGTCTTGATTTTATAGGCATAGGGTCAAAATAATCTCTTTGTAGTGATAGACTTGATAATAAAAAGTTTCAGGAAGTATGTCTGCATTCTGAAATTCTATGATGTGTCAAGGCACCCATTCAGTCTTTAATGCTGTAAAAAGATTTTGAAGATCATATCCTCCACGAAACCAGAAATAGAGGATGAATTAGTGAGAGGAACAGTAATGCAAGAGGAAGATTAAAATCCAACAGATAACCCAAAATTAAGTGTAGGGTATAAATTTTCACAGCATAGATTTCTCATTATGCTGTAGATTATTGTTCCAAACCCTCTGAAAATAGAGTGAGTCTTCTAAATACTTTTTAATAACATTTTGGACTTCTGCATAAGATTCATATGAAAGTAGGGAAAGCAGGAGGTGTGACATTTTTTTTCTTTTCAAAAGTACATTAAAAACCACTAGATAAAACTATGCTGCCATATACTGGGCCTTGAAGATTTCAGTGCTAAAGCAGAGAATTATTCCAAGTAATGGAACATAGCCAGTAAAGATACCAAGGCAGGATAAGTATTGGCTCACTTGGGTGATCTGCCATTTTTATTGATGCTTACCACTGTTCAACAACGGGGAAAAGTTTATTTATTTGCACTTTAAGAAGGGTAATTGTGCTGGAGGTAGAATTTGAGGTGAACCTTAAAGAGTTACATAGGACTTCAGCAGATGAGGATTTTAGGCAGGAGACCCTTTCGATCATAGACTAGCCCTTACACACACAGAGATAGAAGAGTAGATTATTCAGGAAACAAAGATCCATTTTTCAGTATATCCTATATACAAATGTAATAAAAGAATTTACAGATACTGTTGTTCAACTCAAAATTTTTTGACTTTACAGTGTTGTGAAAGCAGTACATATTCAGTAGAACTATACTTCAGATTTTGGTATTTTCTTGGTCTGGTGATGCTGAGCAACAGTAGCAAGCCACAGCTTTCAGTCAGCCACATGTTTAGAGAACAGACAGCTGGTACCCTTACAGCCATTCTGTTTCTCACTTTCAGTATAGTATTCAACACATTACATGAGATAGTCAACACTTTATTTTAAAATGGGCATTATTATAAGTGTTCTGAACACATTTCAGGTAGGCTAGGCTAAGTATGGTGTTTGTTAGATTAGGTTAAGTATGATGGATTTATCAGAGTGTAACTTTATAAATTGATATCTGTAGTAGCTATAGTTTTGGAAGGTCTTAACGTCTAAGGATGTTAAATTTGTTTCATCTGGAACTAAGAGCCTTATCTGGGGCCCTGAAGAAAAAAATGAGATTTGTTAAAAGCATATAGCAATATTAAATGGAAATATGACACCTGAATTAGAATCTCGATAGAGAAAGAAAACAATGAATTAGACATGCTTGGCAATTTAAACAGTATATCATTGTGAATGAAATTGAGTCAGTTTCTATGGGAGTAATGATTTTGTTAAATGATTAAATGATTTCATTAAAATAAAAATATGGCTGGTTTTTGTACAGAAAGCTGATAAATTAAGGTGGAATTTGGATTTGCAGGCCATTGCTTTTTGAAAATCTTAAACTGAGTTGAATAGGAATGAAATACTGCATAAAAGCTTTCTGACTATTATTTATTTGCCTGATAGTTTCTACTAGAAGTACTTTTTTCTTACTAATTAAAAAGTCATGTCCTATTCTGTCCCATTTATTAAGTGCTCCAGTACCCACACTAACCTGTTTCCTTCCTGACTTTCATAGGTTTTTATCACCTGTAAAACATTTTGCCACGTAGTCTTTTTGGTATTGTTTCATATCAATTCCTAGTCTCCACAGCCAATATCAAAGTTCTCAGGTTGAGGATTACGTCATATTCTCTATGCATCCCCTGCTACAACTATATTGCAACTAGTGTGGGATAGTACAAATAGAAGGGTTTAATACATAAATTGAATAGCGTAGTAAACAATTTACGTCTATTATAATTATATAATTATTTCTGCTTTGTAAAGTTTAAAAATGCTTTTAAACATTTTTAGTTAAACATTTAGTAAAAATTTTTATTAGCAAAACATTTATATATTCATAAACTTTCATGTTAACTTTTTTCTTTTAGTTTAGGAAAACAATTTGAAATATGAACATTGATTAGAGTCTTATTCGAAGAAAACATTTTATAACTTGCTTAATGTGATCTTTACATTAATTTTTTTAATGTATTTATCTTCCTAAAATTTCCACTATAGTTTTTTTAAAGCTATGTAAATGTTTTGATTATAATTAAATATAATTTTAATTATATGTTATATTACATTTTTAAATAAAAATCTATATTGACTTTCAGATATATCATTGTGGTGGAGCATGATCTAAGTGTATTAGACTATCTCTCTGACTTCATCTGCTGTTTATATGGCGTACCAAGTGCTTATGGTGTTGTCACTATGCCTTTTAGTGTAAGAGAAGGTAACTTGAAAAACTTTTCACAATGCTCTTTCACATTAATGCTTAGAAAATGTATTGTTGATACTAAGTAAAGTGTTGCTGTCATATTACTTATCCAAAACTCTGGCCTTATGAAATTTAATCTCACCATAGAATATACATATATAAGGTTATATATGCCAGTTGTTAAACATAACCTATTTCTTTTTGGAGAAGTTTTTGTTGTGGCTAAAAATATTCTATCAGTTTCACTATTTATTTGCTATACTAAAATGTTCATTTATATTTTGGCCTCTATAGCATCCCTATATTATTAGTCATCTTCAGCTTTATCTTTGACAGGCCAGTACCAGTAGGAAAACTCTTAAAATTCATCTAGTGCTCATCTTGTTTTCATGTTTCAAATTTATCTTTAATCTGTATCCTAAGTTTGTGGAACTAGGGTTATCCAAAAGTCTAATAAAATACTTAAATATATTATAGTCTGGTGAGTGACTAAAATTCTAATACAACAGCTCAGTATGTGTATTTTCACTTATCCCTGCTACTTGCAGGAAAGAGGGACTGTCTCTCTTTTCCATGTGTTTTCCCTACCTAAGCAAGTTAGGCAAAAGTAAAAACTAGCCTACCACTAAGTGGCTCCTGAAGCAAAATCAGTGCACTCTCCACCTGGTATGCCTTCTTCCTTTTAATTTCTTTCCTGTTTTCCTTCACAGCTTCCTCAATCCTATTTTTAGTTTTTATGTTTCTTCTCTCCAGCTATGCCTTAAACTGATAATCTAGACATGAAAGGTCTCCTTAGTCCATATCTTAAAAGTGCCATATTCTATAAGATTATTCATGGAGCCTTATAGTTCCCTCAGTTGGACAGACTTTTCTTTTTTTAAAGCTATAAAAAGGGTATAAATAGTTTAAGATGTGGGAAAGGACTTACTATCCCTTATCTACTTATATATTTGAGATAGATACTATCCATCTATTGAGATAATATATTTTAAGAAATAACTTGTGAGATTGCCCAGTTTTCTTACCAGTAGTCTTAAGAGATGATAGCAGAAGCAATTACTGTTTTATTCTCCTCAGTTAGCAACTAATATCAGAGCATCTACTTTGTGCCTAAAGTATTAAGTTCTAGAATCATATTGATAATAACAACATAGATACCTGGCAGTCACTTTTCATAATTCTAGTTAGAGAAAAGTGAAAGTCACTCAGTCATGTCCGCCTCTTTGCAACCCCATGAACTATACGTATACAATCCATGGAATCCTACAGGCCAGAATACTGGAGTGGGTAGTCTTCCCAATCCAGGGATCAAACCCCGGTCTCGCGCATTGCAGGTGGATTCTTTACCAGCTGAGCCACAAGGGAAGCCCTGAAAGTGAAAGTCTCTCAGTCGTGTCTGACTCTTTGTGACCCATGGTTGCTAATTCTATATAACTATATAATTCTAGTCAGAGATGCCATATCTAAAGCATATGCTAGGAAATAGTTCCTGGTGAAGTTTTAATGTACCCTATCCGTAAAAACTATTGAACTAACAAACTGCACTTAATCTTTCTGCTTTCCTTTAATATGCTAAAATTAACACCTTATATGTAAAAGCTCTTTATGAACTATAAAGGAATTTTAGCTTGAACTCATTTTTAAATTAAAAAGAGAAACATTGCAGTTGGAGTGTATAAAGCTGATTTGTTAATTTTTTTTTGCACAAAGTCACTTCTCTGAGCTTTTGTTTTCTTACCTAATGGATTGGTCAACTGTACTAAATGGTCACTTAGATTCCTTTGAGTTTATATTTTTAATGTTAGACTTTAAGTTTTTAACCTCATGTTATTCTTAACGTGAATTCTTAATTCTTAAATGGCTTAAGATTAAAAATGCTAATTTGGGCAGAATACATGGATCTGTTGATTTGTTCTGTCAGTATATATTTATTAAGCACCTGTGTTCTAGGCTGAGAAGGCCTAGATTTGGTTCTTAATTGCAAATGAAATGAATGACGTCCTAGACTTTCTTTCAAGACCTTCTGAAACTTAAGCTACTGTTCTTCTGGCACACATAGTAAACACAAAGACAGGTCTTCGTTTCCCAGATGACGCGCTTTTCCCTTTCTGTGCATCTGCCACTGTGGCTCTTACCAAACATGTACCAGTATGTTAGTTTTTGTTTGGTTATTAAAATCTGTTTAGATTATGTTGTTTGCACAGTGAAGCCAAGGAAAGTTCAATGAAGTTCTTAAAAATCTGCAAAGCTAATCTGAAAACAAATGCAGTAAATCATAAATTCAGCATATGGTTATGTCTCACATGAAAATGAATACTTATAACTTTAATTCTTAACTATTTTATATCAGTCTGTGAAAATACTCTATTTTACTTGTCCCTTTTTAAAGAAAAATTACAATTTTTTATTTTAAAATACAGAATAAATGGTATCAGAGCCTTTCACATAAAATCTGATGGAAAATGTTTTATAAAAATCACATAATAATGAAAAGATGTGCTTTGTATATGTGTTTGTATATATAGGCATGTATGTATGCATGAATTAAACTTGGTATTAGGTACGTGAAACACCATGTCGTACTGCTTGCTATGTAAATCTATGTATAGATTACTCACAAGAAAGCCTAGGGTTTGGTTTTTATATGATAATTTATTGCTGTGGGAAAAGTTGAGTCTTTAATTGATCTTTGCTAATCTATTTCAATAACTTTCCAATAGGCATAAACATTTTTTTGGATGGCTACGTTCCAACAGAAAACTTGAGATTCAGAGATGCATCACTTGTTTTTAAAGTGGCTGAGACAGCAAATGAAGAAGAAGTTAAAAAGATGTGTATGTATAAATACCCTGGAATGAAGAAAAAGATGGGAGAGTTTGAGTTAGCGATTGTAGCTGGAGAGTTTACAGATTCTGAAATCATGGTGATGTTGGGGGAAAATGGTAAGTTTCCCTTATTCTGTGATATTTGAAAGTTGATTCTGTTTATCCAGTAACTGAGTTTTAATTACTTTGAAAAGTTTTGACTCAGTTATTTTATAGGTCTGGGAACTAGGTTGAATTCCTATATTTCTCAGTGTGGTTCACATTTTGTGGCACCATATTGTTTAATTTGTCATTTAATCAAGTTTATACTTCTTATTTTGTTAACCTTCAGTGAGAATTAGATCTTTTCCTAAGCTGGTTTTTCTATGTATATATTGATACAGATGACATTTATTCATCCTAGAAACTGACCAGAAAGGAAAGAATTGGTAATTCTAAAGCAGTCTAATTTAAAATGTTTTCCTTGCAACTTTGTAAATAGTTATATTACTGACATTTTTAAATAATAGGTTATTGTCATAGTTATGAGATGATTTTGAGTGCTGCTGATTTTGAGATGATTATGAGCTGATTTTGAGATGATTTTGGAATTTTATGCTTACAACTTATAAAACTGTGGAAGAAAAAAACTTTCTGAAGATTGTTGCAGTATATCAGTCTTTAGTTAATGTATTAGTCTTTAGCTTGGTTGCAATTAAATATTTCATGTTAAATGGCCTTTGTGATGATGGTGTCAATCATAACAGTTATTGTCCTGTTTTAACAATAAATTGTGTTCATCGATACTTTAGCTAAAAAAGTCTTTCAAGAACTAACCCAAGACTTTATAGATCCTTTTATTAAAATGGCAATTATAAACTTTAAATAGTATGTATTCCTCCTAATGAATTTAGAATGATACTTGAGAGGTGGATCATGAAAGTTCAAGTAACTTTCTATATAGCCTTCAGAATTCTGTAGTGTCAGTATATTTTTTCAAAACTAGTTTTCCAGTTACAACCCAGTAATGCATAGTGATTTACTCTAAATGTGAAACATTTTTCAAATCAATTTGTTTTGTGTTGTCAGGTACTGGTAAAACAACATTTATCAGAATGCTTGCTGGAAGGCTTAAACCTGATGAAGGAGGTACTGTTGTAGTGTTGTTTTTTTTACTCTTTTCCATGTAGTAGACTCAGTTTTCAGTGTCTTATTTATTTGCATTATTTTGCAGGGGAAGTTCCAGTTCTAAACGTCAGTTATAAGCCACAGAAAATCAGTCCCAAATCAACCGTGAGTTATACTGGTATTTTTTTTTTATTATTATTAAAGAAGAATTTATATGTATATATACCTAGAGCATTACTCTTAAACTGTATCAGAATGTTTCTCCAAATCAGTTTCTGTCCAGGGCCCCCCAAGTTGCCCAGTGGTAGAGAATCCGCCTGCCAATGCAGGAAACAAGGGTTTGATCCCTGGGTGGGGAAGATTCCTGGAGAAGGAAATGGCAACCCACTCCAGTATTCTTGCCTGGCAAATCCCATGGACAGAGGAGCCTAGTGGGCTACAGTCCATAGGGTCACAAAGAGTTGGGCATGACTGAGCGACTGAGCAACTGAGCTCGCGCACACAGGTGTAATAAGGTGGCTAAGGAAGATACTAAGACTACTATAGTCCTTAATTTCATTTCCACTACTGGGAAAACTATTTTAAGTCTGTTTGGCATCTTTTTCCAAAATAAATCTTCAAAAGCCTAATGTATTTGGCGGTGCAAATGGCATCAGGAAAGTGAAAGGCTACCCACAAGACTGGAGAAACTGTTTGCAAATTATATATCTAATAAGGTACTCATATCCAGAATATATAAAGAACTCGTAAAACTCAGTTTTTAAATGAACAAAGGATTTGAATAGACATTTTTCCAAAGAAAGGAAACAAATGGCCAGTAAGCACATGAAAAGATGCTTAGCATTGTTAGTCATAAGAGAAATGCAAATTAAAGCCACACTGAGACACCACATCACACCCACTGAAATGACTTCAATCAGACAAGAACAGGTATTGCTGAGGATATAGAGAAATTTGAACCTTGTAGATTGCTGGTAGGAACGAAAAACAGTAGAGCCACTGTTATTCAGCCATAAAAAGAAGACACTGATATATATTACGATATGGATGAGACTTGAAACATTGTGAAATTAACTTCCTTTGATTTCTGCAGGTGTGGTAATGAACTTATTTATTAACTTCCGTACCTCAATACTTATATTGAAAATATTTATGACGACTTGGCTTACATTAAAAATTTCATCATTGGTTTGGTGTTCTCTATAAACTTAGCTTTTCAAGTGCTTAAGACATCTTATGTTCATCCCTGTCATACTGTTGCACATTTTGTGTTACCTCCCAGATTGCCTAAGATTACTTGATACACATATTGACCTTTAGAAGTATTCCTAGTCTAATGATTTCTCCATTGAAGCAGTCATTTATTTCTTTCAGATTTTAAGATTATTGCTTTATTTTTTTTAGTTGGACATGATGGGTTTTTAATTTTTTAAATCTCAAAACATGCCCTAGCTGATAGATAAGTGTCAAAATACTGTGGATATCTGTTGGCAACAAATTGTTACACTTTTGCTGTGTGGCTTAACTTTGTCAAGGTGCATAATCAGAGTAGTTTTGTACTGAAATAAAATTTGAATACTTTTCCCTTAAAAACAGGGAAGTGTTCGCCAGCTACTACATGAAAAGATCAGAGATGCTTACACTCATCCACAGTTTGTGACTGATGTAATGAAGCCTCTGCAAATTGAAAACATCATTGATCAAGAGGTACTCTTAAAATAATTTTTGTTGTTTTATCATTTTAAATGGTGGATATCTCTACATGGTTTACTGAACTTCTTCTGCAAATAGGTGCAGACATTATCTGGTGGTGAACTGCAGCGAGTAGCATTAGCTCTTTGTTTGGGCAAACCTGCTGATGTCTATTTAATTGATGAACCATCCGCATATTTGGATTCTGAGCAAAGATTGATGGCTGCTCGAGTTGTCAAACGGTAATATCCCACTCATAAAACTATTACATGTGGTCATGTGTACTAGGTGCTTAATATACCATTTGAATATTTGATGATACAAAACTAAGGTTTCAAAATCATGTGTTTTAGTTTCATACTCCATGCTAAGAAGACAGCCTTTGTTGTGGAACATGACTTCATCATGGCCACCTATCTAGCAGATCGAGTCATTGTTTTTGATGGTGTTCCATCCAAGAACACAGTTGCAAACAGGTAAACTATTTCTAAACCATTCAACCTGATTATAAGTTCCAACACTTTCCTAATCAGCATATAAACATTAGTCATACTATTTTAATTTTTAATAAGGAAAACTCTTGAAGTGATTTTTAACTCCCAAGATTATTCATATACCATCTTGGATGACACTGATTAGAACAGTGGGTTTTAGACTGTGGTATAGCACTGACCCAGGGGAATAAGGATGCAGAGCTTTGGGCCCCTCACCTTCTTTTTCTGGTTATGTTTTGTCTGCTTCATTATTTGGGTACGTGGTTTGCCCAATTTACAATGTTAGTGGTAAAGCTTACTATCCCCTGAATATCTGGTATAAATGTACAGCCGAGTTTAAAATGAATGATTTTACCTCTCCTCTTTTTTTCTTTCATTTCTCCTTATTGGCTTGATAGAGAGTACTTGAAATATAAAGAAGCCTAACTTTCACAATTTATGAGAAAGTTTTTTTTAATGAGAAATTTATTATGCTTTTAGTGCTTAAATTTTATTAGGTTGAACTATATGAAATTACAGATATTCAACCATTTGACCTATAAAAACAGTTAAGTTCATGTGATTACAACACAATATTTCCTGGTTTAGGGAGGAATGGATTTGCTGTTTGAATAATTCATCCAAGAAATAAAAGTACTTAAGTAAACTTCTTAAAATTCTTTTTTTTTTAATTTAAAATTGTCAATTATTGAAAATAATGTACTTTGTTAGGGAAATTTCTTAGACTGTGTGAAAAGAAAAGTGAAAGTGTTAGTTGTTCAGCTATGTCCAACTCTGCGATCCCATGGACTGTAGCTTGCCGGTCTCCTTTGTCCATGGGATTCTCCAGGCAGAATACTGGAATGGGTAGCTATTCCTTTCTCCAGGGGATCTTCCCAACCCAGGGATCGAACCCAGGTCTTCCCCATTGCAGGTGGATTCTTTACCATCTGAGCCACCAGGGAAGCCTTCAAATAATGATCCTCCCTTTGTATTTAAAAAATACTTGAAATGTTCCACAAGTATGATATGATTTAGGATGATTTTAGTAGTAGTTTAGGTGAGAAAAAATGATTAGTATAGAAATAGTATGGAAATTTTGAAAGGAATTATTACTAAAAATCATTATGTTTTAGTGCCAAATTTCTAACATAATTGTACCTTCTCTGTTAAATTTTCTTCTCCCCTAAAAGTCTTAGATTTGAAATTCTGCAATCACCTAATTTTTCTAAAGTAGTACTTTTGGCTAAATGTTTTTTTCCATACCAGAAACATTTTAAACTGTGTTTGTTTTGCACAAAAATACAGCGAAATTATTGAAGCAAAGACATTTTTGAATATAGATTTATAATATACTGTGATTATACTATTATTGAGATGATTTATGATTGAGGAATTAGAGGAAACAGTTCTTAATACTGTTCTTCCTAAAAAGCAATTAAATTGGGGAAAGGGTAAAAATCAATTGTAATTGATAGATTCTATTTTTCACCCTAGTCCTCAAACCCTTTTGGCTGGCATGAATAAATTTTTGTCTCAGCTTGAAATTACATTCAGAAGAGATCCAAACAACTATAGGCCAAGAATAAACAAACTCAATTCAATTAAGGTATGTAAAAAAGTTATCTCAAATCACAATTTCTCAGTGTAAATAGTTGAAAAGTATGTTTTGAATTGAAGACTGTGCCATTAAAATGCTGTCATTCCCTCAGTTCTGAGATTGATGTTTTTCGCGTTTAGTTTCTGATGGCAGATGTCAGTCTGGGAGGCGGCACTTGTGGTAGAGCTGACACTGCTGCAGTGCCTCTCTGAGCTACACCCCTTGTACCACTTGTGGTGAGGGCATTTGCCACTTAAAGTGTCTTCAGGGAAATTACACTTGAAGTAGAGGTTTTACAGCTTTTTTACGTATTTTTTGTGCTTACATAAGAACATGATTAAAATGTATATTTTAAGAGTCCAAATAGTCTTCTTCAGTGAACATTAAATTCTAAACAATGAAACGAAAAATTTGGTTAAATCTGCAGTCTTTTAATCAGCAGTTTTATTTCCTTTGTGGTATATAAAGTAATTATGCACCCTATACTTGATTTAAATATGGTTTTTAGAAAGCAGTCATTTCTTCATCACCCAAAGAAAAATGAAAACTAAAAAAGCGTTTCTGTGTTTCTAGTATGCCTGCAATGAATGCGTCCTTAAAGCACGGCTTCTGTTTCATGGCACTCTAGCCATCGCCCTTTCATATTTTACTCCCCTAGCTTTGCTACTAAAGTGTGAGCCCTTGGAAAGCAAGAGGCACAGTGCCTATCACTTATTCTTAAGCACCTAACACAGTGTCTGGATGCCTTTAGCCTTCACTATAATATTTTATTTATAAATGTTTATTCTCTAGCCAGGATAATGAAATTTAAAACTGAATAGTTCCCTAGTTTTGAAAAGTGAATTAAGCAGAAGAAAGGAACTAAATTTTAGAGCACTTTCATAAGAATCTCTTCTGAAGCCTTACCCTTTGTGTTGCCATTTTCTTGGATAGAGACTCAGTTCAGTCCCCAGGTACACTTATTCAGGATAGTCTCTGTATTAGGTCATCTTAGACAATCACACCTGAGTTCTAATAAGGGAGCTGCTAGGCAGATAGGTAGGTGTATCATTACTGGCCAGTCTGCAAATGGTACTGGGAAAAATTATTTTTATATGCATTTTGTATACTAGGCAGTTCCCAAACTGACACGGTTACATTTTTATCAGGAGCTTAAAGTTAAAAGGATGAAAATGGAATTTAATAGTTTTTTTGGAAACAGAATTTTGTATAGCAAAATTTTGAATGTCTATTTTATGTAAAGGAATTTTGTGTGAGGTGTGCACCAAGGAAAGTGTCTTTGGTAGGTGGTGGAGGTGGGTAGCAGAGTAGTAACCTTGTCTTTGAGCAGCAGGGTGAGGAGTTTCCAGAAGCAGCTGGTGAGCGCAGAGGGGATTGTGTGATGCTGCTAGAAGCACTGGTAGCACTGTGGGAACCCAGCCGGGGCATACCGGAGAGTGGTGTTTCTTTCTGTTGCATCTGTGTTTGTTGATTTCTGTTTGCTTCTCTTTGTTTTTTAGGATGTAGAACAAAAGAAGAGTGGAAACTACTTTTTCTTGGATGATTAAAGTGAATCTGAGAATATTGATAAGCCATTTATTAAGAGAAACATTTATTGGAATTTTTGTCATATAAAATTATATCAGGTTTTATACACCACATGCTCTAGAGCTTGAAGTATAATTTACTTACTGTAACATCAAAAGCTAGTTGTGTTGTAAATGGTGGTCTGAATACAGAAAACGCCACTTTTCTGATCTTGATGATAGAACCCTTTTTGTGCATAACATTGTAAAATGAAGACATTTCAAGCATACAAATTACCTCCAGGTTTCCATAATGTATAGAAAGATTTTCAGTAGGTTTATTATATATTCATGTACTAAATGCTGAGCAGTGTTGCCCCTTTTAAAATTCTTGAAAAAGGTTTCTGCACTTAACATGGTTTGCCAAATATGCCATTATAATGAAACTGCCCTTATTTTAAAATCCAGTTGATGACTTCACTGATTAAATTTGATAAATAAACATCAGGATTATATTTGTTTTCAGTCTTTGCATTAAATTGTCAGTATGTTTAGACTTTCAAAGGAAGATTACTGCAGAACACCACTGCTGGAAACAGACTATTACCAACTTTAGCATTGTTTACAATGTTTTTGGTGCTTATAAATATCTTGAGCAAAAAAAATCATTTCAACACACCCTCCTCTTCCCCACCCAAAAAAAAAAACCTAACTTGATTCTGAATTAGATGTACCATTCCATAAGATTCTATATTCTGTAATTATTCTCAAGGTAATGTCATTCTTTAAACATACCTTTGTGTAATCACTGATGAAGATTTAGGAAAAAGTATTTTAAAGAATGTCTGTTTCCCTTGAAAGTACAGTACAGGCTCAAAATCTTTATAAAGTTGGTCCCTAAGCATCTATGTTTTTAAACTTCCACAGATTTCTGATGGGCAACCAAGGACTGTGAGCCACTTTCCTAAAGGCAACAATACCACCAAGGAGTCCCCAGATAGCAATACAAAGTATCCCTTGGTACCAAATATATTTATTTCTAGGTTTTGAATATAGAGGATATTATCTAAATCTGTTTGACTTTTTTTTTCTAGATAGTGTGTAGCAGGAGTTCTAAAAACTGATGTAGATTTCTTGAACAGTGGCATACCTGTAGTGTGAAACCACTTTCAAGTATATTTCTGCCTAATGCCCTGAACTGGAACTAACTCATACTACAAGTGGGAAAGGAGTTTAGGACATAGAAAAGCTTTTAGAGCTCCCTGTAAACTACAGAAGCTTTAATTAATAGGCAAACAGTTGGTGGAAAGTGGTTTAACTAAGACCCATTAGGCCTTTTAAAAAATTAATTTATGTGAGTAATCTATATGTTTGTTGTGAAAATTTCAAATATACAGAAATAAATGGAATAAAGAATTATGATTTCCCTTCATTTTACCCTCCCAGACGTTATCAGTGTTTTTAATATATATCCTTTCATGCTTTTTAACTAAGTGTGAATATGTAAAGGGTTTGCTTTGTACATAAATGGGATTATATTAAAATAAGTAGTGCCTATTTTTAAGGATAGGTTAAACTTGTGAATGATTATTCAAATATATTGAATAAAATAAGACAAAAGCTATTTTTACTTATTCTGTACTATGTCCTTAAAAATATTTTTGATATGAGCCCAGTTCTTTCTACTTATTACTGATATAGAATATGTATCAATTTATTGTTTTTCATGTAAATGAAAATTTTAAAAAGGAATTTGATGTTACTTAAAATTTTGTACAGCAACAGAAAAGGACTTAATATTAACACAAAGAAGTGTTTTATAAAATCTATTACCAACTCAAATACCTCAGTGCAGATGTTAGCTCTCCTAAAAAGAATTGAGACTGCTCAATTATATCATTATATCCTGATTAGAAAAAATTTCTAAGCAAAAAAGCATGGTGCAACATAAGTTTATTATAAGACACCACTATTTATGAAAATACACAAAGTACTAAAATACAAAAAGAGATACTCAAAAACAATGCTTTTGAGAAGGATAACTTGATGGTTAGGAACAGAGAACAAAGGAAACACATAGACACACACGCCTTTTGAATTTTATATTTTGTGCATATCAACTGTTTATAGTTAACGAAGCATGTAGCATTCTATAAAACTAGTGTATATGCAACTTAACCTAATTTTACACCATAGCATCTTGAAGTCCAGTACCTTCTCTTGCTTACAAATTCAATGTAGTTTGGTGTCTGACATGTAGTTTTGCCTACTGTATTGAAGGAATCGATCTGCTCATCAGAGCAGCTCTGTGTTTCTATAGGAAGACTAGGTAACTACTCACTTGGTTAAGTGATTTCACTCCCTCGTTAGTATTTCATGTACATACATGTCAAGCCCTCAACACCACTGGTGAGTTATGAGTACCACGTGGTTCTGAAGAGCGTTCTGGGTTGGAGGGTCAGAAAGGGCTACAATAGACGCAGCTGCCAGGGAAATAGAACCTATAAAGATGGTAAAATAATCCACGTGAAACAGAAAATGTCAGATATCAGCATGGGCACCCAAGAGCTTAGTGAGAGGAAAAGATAATACAGGCAAGAGTGTAGTGAACTTTCAGGTGCCTTCAAGATTTAAGGTAGAAGTTTTTACATGGTCTGAGTAGGAATAAATGAGAAAAGCAGTTGGAGAAACAATTATCAAATAATCAGTTCAGCAGCTTATAATTCTTTAATTTTCATTTTATTACTACTCACCAGTACCTCCTCCCTTGCCTAATTGGTAGGATAAGCAGTGTGCCCAGCTGCAGCCAGTGGATCGTAATTGGGCTAAGGCCATCTGACAGTCCTCCTCGTATATCCTAGTTGCTAGCAGCTCAGCATGCCATGTTGACCAGTTCTAGCCAATAAGCTGAAAGAGAAGCCTCTTGGAGTTTCTGGAAGCCCTTTTGCTTTTCTAATAAAGAGATCTGTATCTGGTACACCTTTTTGTGGCTGTGTTGTGACCACAAGGTGATGAAAGGGAAATGCTGATAAAGTCACAAGGATCCTAGCCCTGCCATCAAACACCACACAATGCCAGCAGCCACATTCCTTCCAGATTTCTTTGAACAAATCCCTGCGTAAGCGGATAAAACTCACAGATTTCTGTTGAGGTCAGAACCTTGGCTCTGAGGTCTCTTCAAAGGCTTCCCATTTACTTGTGCCAGGGGACTGGATGACCAGCTCAGAACCACTTTTCATTTTAGCTTGCAGATTCCTGGACATCAAACCTAACTAAACAAGTATGACTACATTGTCAAGTGGGTTTTGTTTTTTCCCCAAGAATCTGGAAACCAGGCAAGGAGAGGCTTGTCTATAGGAAATGTTTAGTTACCACTATTGCCCGTTTGACTGGGGCGCTCCTGGTGGTGGTGTAGCTGCTTAGTCGTGTCTGACCCCTGTGACCCCATGGATTATAGTAGCCTGCCAGGCTCTTCTGTCCATGGGATTCTCCGGGCAGGAATACTGGAGTGGGTTGCCATTTCCTTCTCCAGAGGTGCTCCTGATGTGAATACAAATGTAGGAGTTCCAGCTCCCAACTGCACACGCCTGAGTCTGCCTCCCGTATCTATACATCTTCACCTAATGAGACTGGCAACCATGTACATCTGTCCCCTCGTGGAGCAAAGCCTTGTCATTTCATGTCTGTACCTCTGGTTTCTAGTCTCCATTTTTGGCCCCCGACTTATGAACACATGAAAGTATAAAGGACTAAGTTACACTACTAGTAAGAGGTATATCTTAGGTAGGTACTAAAAACAGCATTACTTTCTTAAGTCTAGCTGAAGGCATTTAATCCAAAGCCAAAGTTTTTATTTTTAAAAAACTAGCTTACTACAACGATTTTTATTGGAATCAGTTAATAATTTCCTAGTTCAGTATTTATATAACATTTGAAGAGATATGAGGCCCTAAGAACCACACTGTTTTCTGTACTTAATATCCCTAAGATTTTTTCTAAGTGTGGAAAATAAATGTGATCATAGTAATGACATGTATTTTAGAAAGTTGATTTTTAAGCTCCAGTTTCACTAATGAACTCAAAGGATCAATCTGAAAAACTGACATTCATACCAACATCTGTAGCTTGACGATTCTGAGGGGTGCATGATTCACTTTTGGTAGAGCTTATAAATTAGTTAGGGTCTGTGAACAGAATTTGTACTTACTTCCTCTTTTGCAGTTTATTCACATTCTTTTATCATTCCCTAGAACTGCACTTAATTCAGTTAGGAGAAAAGTAGAAACTTGGGCTTCAAAGTATTTAAGTATACTGGCTACATTTTCAAATAAAACTTTCAAACAATGCTTTACCTAACTTAAAAATTCATTTAACCTATAAATTATTCAGATATTCTATACATTCCCATTTCATTTAATGACTGCTGAGAAAGAATAGGACTAGCTCTCAAACCAGTTAGGGCTAGGTTCAAACCTAAATTCTACCCCTTACTAGTCGCATGACCCTAGCTTTATTATATATGTAATGTAAGGAAAAGAACAGTACTTACCCCATAGATTATAAATCCCACATGGTGTTTAATTGCACATACTATTTTCTGACTGGATAAAAGCCATGCAAACTCTTAACTTCAGAATTTCACTTAAATTCCTCCTAAGATTTATATGCTATATTATATATTACTGCTTAAAACGCTAGAGCCAAAGAATCACAAGCAGAATCGAGAGACAAAATTTAATATATGCACACGGTTTTATATATAATGCAGCATCACACCATGTAGGGCATTTACTCTTATTTTATACATTCAGATATGTTTGAAACACTTCTTAAGGCTACAAAACAGAACATAGAAAAATAAACAGGAATATATTCAACACTTACAAAAAGTGATATGATAAAGAATATAAAGTACTATTTTCCTTTGAACACTTCAAAAGATGTATATATACTTTTTTTTTTTACAAGTAACATCACAAATAATCACATCTTCACATGCTTTATTATTTGTACTCAGTGTAAGGCTATTATCATTTTTCATACATAAATTTTTTTCTAGCTCTGTAACAATGCAATTTTTTATCCATTCAAGTAAATTCAACCCAAAAGTTGCTGTTTCCCAGCATTAAGACATGCACCCACCCCTCTTGTAGGATTTTCTAAAATTTGTATTTCAGGGGAGAAAAAAACCTAAATTAGTGGGAATTCCCAGTTAGTGGGAGAGTAAGTGGCTTACACTAACAGCAAAACCTTAGTTCTTTGAAACTGACATACTGGAACTGAGCCATTATTAAGATTTGAAACAACACAATAGCATTTAGACATTAAATAGGAAGCAAAATACAGTAAACAGAAATAGTGTAGCCAAATATGCATTATTTTCAGCTACACTAAAATGGACCTTGCTTAGTACCCATAAGTGAAAGACTAAGGTAAAATAAATGAGGCATAAATAAATATTGCTAGTTCTAGGATGGCTGAATGTTTTCTAAACCAGAAATGGTTAGAAAGGAACTTTATTGCACCAAGTCAATCATAAGCAAGTTTGCAGTTCACAGGCATTATTCAACCTTGAGTCACAAAGGAAACACACTGCAAGAATATAGAGTTGGCAGCAAATATGATGACATATCAGTAGGGAAAACCTACTCCGGCCAGGCCCCAGCAGGGTCTGAGCTTAGGTCAGCCGTGAAAACGCACACACAGGTTAACAGGGAACAACAGGATGAGAACTACCCAGATGCCAGCATCCTGCCGCCAAGGGGTATGTGGAACAAGAACTGAAGATCTATCTGAGAGAAGATGAAGAGGAGAAATACACACAATGCTAAAAGGAAAGGGGCTGGAATCAAGTTTAGCAAAAGCCAACAAAAATGAGAAGTGAGCTTTGGTCATGCTAAATGTTTGTTCTTCAAAATGTGTATGATCGTTACGAGAGTAAGTTCCATAATTTCCAACTCGGAGTACAAATGATTCTCACTTCTAAGCTTTTGCTTTTCTCTGAAACATTTTTATCTCATGTCAACATACCATATAACTCAGTTAAAATGAAGGAGGACAAAGCTTGCTTGGCCCTAGTTTGACCTCAGCATAAGGCAAAACCCCTGGACTGATACACCAAAATCAAACCCAAAGGAAAAACAGACCTTCCTGCAAAGACTGATAATTTTAACACCGAATAATCAAAAGTCAGAGTTCTTTCTTCTTATTCCAGAGGTCACTGACTGAAGTACCAACTGCTCGAGTTCTCCCTCAGCACTGTTTCCACCACACACTGGAGGTAAGTATGGCAAACAGGAAGCAACTCGGCATTTCCTTCAGGAACTACAGAGTATTCCATTACTCAACTGAGGTAAGACAAGAGTGACAGTGGAGAAACGAAACAGTATTCTTTCCTATCCAATTTTAAAACATTTCCAGAAGAAACTGAGATCAAATCCCAGTCAAGAAAACAAAGGACACAGGAACAGAACGAACTTTTTTTTTTGGGGGGGGGGGGGGGGACTCCTGAGATCAAACCTACACTGCTGAACTTTTAAATCTTGTCACTACAGCTAATGTAATTTTCATTAAAATGATCAGGTAAGCTAATCTTACATGTAAAAGCATGAGCTGAAAAGTGGAGGACCCTCTCATCTTCTCATTCCATAACAACTGTTGATGGTGACTAAGAAAAAAAATTCTTAAGCAGTACCTTCCCCAGTTTTCTGGCTTAGGTGACAACCAGAAATTCCTTTCAACAGGTTCTCTCAATCTTTTTCTTTTCCACACAACAATCCCAGTCTACAAATTTCTACCTAGCACCATCACAATAAAATGTTATCTTTCAAAGTGCTCTCTAAAATCCTATGTTACAAAATATCTACACACTAATCACTACTCAAATCAGCAGTTACACAGACATCAGGTAATTAAAACAAAGAGGTAAATAACCATTATTACAGTACAGCGGAGATTCACTGAGCCGAGCTGGCATCCAAACATTCCCATAGGTTAGCAGAGAACCCAGAAAACTCATCTGCTTCAGCTTGTCAAATTCAAGTGAATTGTATCTGCTTTTAAAGTAATTTGCTTTAAAAAAAAAAAAAAAACCTACTTTTGGCTAGGTGTACTACACATGGCATGCAAAGAGAAATTAACTACATTATTTGCATAGCACTCAAACTTCCTGATCAAAGGAGAACATAAAAAAGGGCAGAATTTCACATTGATATGTACAAATAAGAAATACAAGCTACAGCAATTTTTTTACACAGTAACATAGATGAATGAATACTGTGTTAATTCAGAGACTCGAATCTCCCAATGGGAGCAGAGTGCACCACGCAGAGGGAACTTCTAAATGAATACTGCAGAGACAGGAAGGAAGCGGGATCAAGGACATGTTACCAAGGGGCAACAAGCTACATGATGCAAAGCAAATCCACAGTCTAGCAGCATCCTCTAGAAAAAGTACTCAAAGTCATCCTTTTTTGTACAATAGTTCCAGCCGAGACAAATTGAACATGCAAGTGTCAAGTGGTACGCATAAACTGATGGTGCAAAAGAGAAAAACGAAACACAGTAACTCTATAGAAACCTGTCAGGCTAAAAATTTTTTTAACATTTCTTCTCACAAAATATTTAAATCTGTCAGTGCATTAGTGTTAAAGTGGCATTAAAAAACTTCTGCAGTTTTAACAGATGCAGATTATTTTCAAAATGCATAGCATCTACATTTCTTTCGAGTAGGCACCATGATATTTACACCAGTGCTAAGAATTCTTGGTGGGAACAGCCATTTCATTAGATTTCCTATGATTTCTTAAACATCTATTCTTGTATGCAATCTCAAGTTCAACAAATACTCACCAAAATTCAAAAATATACCCTATGAATATTAAAAGAACTATATACATTTCTAAGACACAGGTTAATAGGCTGCCTTATGTGTAATATTAAAGAGAAGACATCATTCAAGTTTGACAGATATTGAGATGAAAGGCCTTTGGGTTGGAAGCGTTTCAAAAGACAACAGTGTTTTAGGCTAAGACCTGTTTGAGCCCAGTTTATGACTAAGGCATTGCATAATAAAATATGTTTCTATTTGGTGCGATGTTATGTTTTGGAATCTATAGTGTGTCGAATGGTATATTTTGTCACTTTAGTAAACACTACAAAGCACACGTTTCCAACATCTGAAATTAAACTTATATATAAGGAAAAACAAAAATCAAACACTAAATCTATAATGGTTCATATTAAGCTGTTTATAAAAAATACTTTAACAAACTTATTTCTTACTTTTTATAGGGGCAGTCACCTGATAAATAGACAGGTTTTGAAGACAGAAAAATGGCAACACCAGGAATTCACCTGCCCCCTGAACACATATCCAAAATCTCCTGTCCAGAATGAGAGTGAAGGTGAGTGGGGGAGGGGAGGAGAGAGCTCCAATTTGGGTTTTTACTGGGTTTTTTTGTTTTTTATTAAAGCCTTCAGACACTCCACCCACTCTAAAGCACGGCAGCGACACATCAGGTGTGCTGTCCCCGATGGCCGTCCCCCATCCCTGACCTCCTCCTGTCCCCGCGGTAGGGCCGGCCGCGGACGTTCCGGTGGTACTGGTAGCCCTCGTCGCGGCTCCTGCTCGCCTGCCCCTTCCAGGACTCCTCGCCTCGGGCGTGCGGGTACCCTCCGCGGCCCGAATAGCCCCAGTCGCTCTTGTACTTCCTCCCCCCGAAAGTCTGGTTGTAGAACTGCTTGGATCGCCCGCTCCTCAGAATGTGCGACACCTCGTTTTCGTCCTCTGAGCTCTCTTCTTTTGGTCTCTGCACCCTGCTATCCACGGAGTTGGCCCCGCTGACCGCATCAGCAGCAGTCTTCGGCTCTTTCCCTTTCTCTGGTTTTTCTTTCAGACTTGGAATGGTCCTTTTGGGCTCCAGTCCCGCGGGCGCAGCTTCCCTCTCTCTGTTTAGAAGCTGAGCGGGGCCTTGCGCCTCGCCCTCGGCGGCAGGAGGGCCGGGAGCCGGGCCCGGCTCCGCCTTCGGCGTCTGCGAGGAGCGCTCAGCGCGGCCGGCCGGCGTGCTGGCGCCGGCTTCAGCGGGAGCTTGCGGGTCCTCGCGCCCGGCCTCGGGAAACTCCTCTGCTGCTGGCACGGAAGCACACTCTTTAGAGAGATCGAGGTTTTCCAGGGGCAGATCCAATTCTCCTTTCTCATCGGAGGGCAGAACGATATTCTGCCTCATGACTGGATTCTCGATGAATCCCTGAAAAGGGTAGCCATACCAAACGTGAGGAAAGAAAGGCGGTGCGATGGGGACCGGGCCCAAGAACGGGTTCGGGCCAAAGGACGGCTGCGGGAACATGTTCTTGCCACTCAGCGACTCCTCATAGTCGGCGTGCAGGATCTGCCCTGTGTTCTCCGACTGCAGGTCCGCCTGGTAGGACAACTGTCCGTGGCTGTCGGACACCTGAGACGGAGGGATGACCAGGGGTGAGGGAAACGCGGGCGGGCCCATCTCTGCCTGTGGCATCTGGCCGTTCACGCTGCCCTCGGGCTCCATGGGGAAGTGTGCATCTGGACACGTACAGTCACTCTCGTTCTGAGCAGAAGGAGCTTCTTGGAACCATGGGTTCTGAGGATACATAGGGACAGGGACCTTTGGGTACATCCTGCAGGCTGCCAGGTAGGCCTGATGCAGAGGGTACAGGTAAGAGTGTGGGGCCCACATAGGACAACTATATGCCTAGAAGAGACAAAAAAAACACAAAAAACAGTAAGATAAACTACATTGGGGGGGGGGGTTGCGGGGGAAGAAGTTTGAGTGGGCTCAAGCAAAGTTTCTTGCGTCTGAAAAGACCATAAACTGCAGTCCAAAGACGAGACCCCTCTAACACACAACATGCAGAGGAATCACAAAATTAAGTCACTGCCAAGACTCCATTCCTTGTTTCTAGCCTGAAACCAACTCACAGCCCTGATACAGAGGCTTGACAGTAATGAGCCTACCTACAGACCATTGTGATCAATATTCCATCCTGTAGATCTAACTGCACAGAAGGAATCTGGGGTGACAGAGATCTCAAAAACCATCAGCAGCAATCAAGCCTCCAACTTCCAACATCTCAATCGCTGGCTGTTTGGAATGACCTCTGCTCATGTTCTGGCTCTACCACTAACTCAGTATGCGACCCCGTTAGTCCACTAGCTACCTAGACTAGACAGGTTCTATCATTAAAAATGCTGGCACAGAAGTAGGTGATCCCCAACATTCGGACTCCATGGTTACAGAAGCCCCCAGAGCAATCCAATTGCAAGGATTAAATTTAGACCTCTAGTCAGGTAAGGCTAAATAATGAAATGAAATGCTCCAAATTGTCGCCCTGCAAAAGGTTCAGCCTAAACAACAAAACAAAGAAAAATTTACCAGATTACTGGTTAACTGATCAGCTGTACAGCCAACATTAACTAGAGAAATATAAACTAGGCAATGAATTAGTAGATGGAGAAATTAAATCAAGTCTGTTTTTATGAACTGGTCTGTAGGCCATGGTAACACTTGGTGTTTTAACAGTTCAGAACCCATAGAAACGAATCCGGACAGGAGACAATGCAACACTGACAAGAACAGAGCTCTCCAGCTCTTTCTAAGACAAGCCATCTCCAGGCTGACCACCTCCCGCAGGAACCTCTGCTCTGCCAGGGAGCCCTGCCTTCCATGGCTGGCCTCCTCTCAGCCTTTCAACAACGGAGGCGGAGAAGAGCACCGCCCCGTTCCATGACCGGAAACAAGCAGACTCCGACACACTCCGGAACTTGCCCAGGGCCCACAGTACAGACCTTTCACCCGACTCAAGGAGCACTTTACCAGGCTGTTCCCCCAAATAAACTCACAGGGTTAAATCACTGTCAATTAACAGGAAAAGCAGGCAAATGGTGGAGCCTCAATCACCACCAAAAACAAACTGTAAGGCACTGAAAATGCTAGTTTTTAAAATAATAAGATTAGCCTTAGGTTATTGACCAATAGGTTAGAATTAGTAATTAAAACAGTATTTAAAAAAGTATTAACTTAAAATAACTTTAAAATGATAAAATGTAAATACCTTTACACCAAGATTGAAGAAGAATCGAAGAATGTTCTTATCTGAAAATAAGTAACATCAACACTAAAATTATACATTCACAAAAAGCTTTTTCTCATTATCCTCAAATGATACATAGTTCTAAGGACAACTTAGCCTACTTCAACTGTTTTCTCTAGCTTGTAATACAAAACATGGATTAAAAATTATAATATAACCAAAACCAGGTTCCGTTACTGTAGGGTGATTCTGAGTTCAACACACTTTTTCTACTCTAACATCCAACTCCAAAAATGGCTTAAACTGAGATTTTTTATGACTAAAAGCAAATCTGTACGAAGAAAACCCAGGTGTTCACTGCATTTTTTTTTCAACTTCTCTGTGGGGTTTAAAACATTATAAAATAAAAATTGGGGGGAATAAGAGTAAAAATCAACATAAAACTCATTAATGAGATTAGCAGGACAATACTAGCTCAGGTACTCATTTAACATTAGCCAGTTACCCACAGACTCAAACATCAAACCACTAATAAAATTATCTACAAATATCCAGGTAAAGAGCAGTCACTGCATTACTCTTGTAGTTTTACAGATAGGAAAGTTCACAAACATAAACTAAAATCTCTTCAGGACAAATTTAAAAGGAGCTCCTTTAAAATATGTATACATATATGTATATACATGACAGCTATCACGTGTTATACTCATTCCTTTAAAATCTTTTCATGGACATGAAAAGAGTAGTTCAAACACCAAACCACTGATATGGAAAACTCAGCAATGTTTAGTTGTCTGGTTAGTAACACTAGTAAAGCTTAATTCAAAATGGATTCAGGCTTGTTGCAGACATGATGGGGGATGCTGCAGTCACTAAACATATAAAAACGTATCCCATCATAGAGAAGCTGAAACAAAAGTGAGAGACGGACAGATAGCCGCACCTCTGCTGTCCTCCCCAGGCAAGTCCTCCAGCTTACTCGGCAACCTGACCTCTGCCCTCTACTTACAACTCTCACTCCACTCCCAGCAGGACTTGATAAAATTAACCTGAACGTGGAGGAGGAGCTCACCTTTAGGCAGGTCCTCCCCTGTCTGACACAGTGAGTAAGGTGGTGCAATGGCTCGATCTCCCTTTTCGTTACAAGGAAACCCAGGATACAGCGGGTCCTGGTAAAGGCTCAATGTCTGAGGCAAAGGCATCAAGGGCTGGTTCACGGCCTGTATTGACACAGGAACTGGAGAGGGTGTCAAATGAGCTTGGGACACAGCACAATCAGGTCCGGTAGTCAGAGTCTGTGTCACTGACAAGACAGGAATTTGGGCAGGGACACCTACAAAAGAAAGGGAAAGGAATAAGAAGCTATGACGAGGTAAAGATAATTCTCCTCCACAAATAAAAGGTAACATTAGGCTGAACGGTAAGGAATGCCATACATTACACAGCTGGGAAGACAGCGTGCACTTAAGCAATCTAAAGAAGTACTTATGTCAACCACTCACCCTCCTGGCCATGCAGGAGAGAATGAGGCCAAAAAACAGGCTCCGAGCCAGTGACAGCTCTTACAGACGCATGTAAGACACAGAGCCCGTGTCTCCTGGGGCCGCGAAGAGCTGAGGGGGTTGCAGGGGACTGAAAACTGCACTGCCAGCGCCGGGCAACCAGAGGTCAGACATCTTGCTCCCAAGACTGTGAGGGCGGATCTCAAATGAGCACCACATGAACCTGGCCCTCCACCACGGGAAGCAGAGCAGTACGGAGGATCACAGAAGCTCTGAGGCTCCATGCACCTGACCCTGCTCTGAGGTCAAGCTCATACTCAAGAATGTCAAGACTTGGAGGACTTCTGCTGGTTGGTTCAATGAACTTTAAAAAATTTTATCTAACCTGTTGGTCCAAACGTTGTAGGTTCGCTCGGCCAGGCGGGCACAGTGGCTGGTAAGGAAGGCACCGCGGGAGTTAGATGTACCTCTGGAGAAACTAGAAGGGGAGCTGGATTTGACAGAGACACATGTTCTGCTGGCTTCTTCAAGAAGGGGTGCAAAAAAGACAAGAGTTCATTGTGCTTAATACCAATTCAACCACCGAATGCATCATGAGTTGCCTGCCTCTTACACAACTGCAGTTTCTACATAAATGGTCTTTCTTCTGGTCTTTGAAATGAAAGAAGAAACACAGGAGCTAAAAATCCCATACTAACAAATTTGATCCAGTGATCACCCACCGAAAGTCACAGAAGTCACCAGTGGGGTTAGAAACAAACTATAAAGCAACTTGAACCACATGCAAAGAAGCAAATTCACTGAAATCACCCTGAAATTCACAAGTCTAGAACAGCTCCTCACACAAAGAGCTAACATAAAATCATACACTTTCTACCTGACATGAAGGATGTTAACTAAAAGACAAAGGATAAGAACTTTCTCTACTTCTGTATTAGACCAAGAAGCAAAACAATCTGCTAGAACTCAGGTTCTTTCATCATTAAATCTGTAAGCTGGCAGTATTGCCCTTTAGACATACGTCCTTTCTAATCTCTTCAATCATTACATTCCTTCTCTTCTATGAAATAATTGGTAAGCATGCAGAGTTGTCTCTTTAAATTCTGAAAGAAAACAAATTTCCCCTCAAAAATCTTATTTTCAAGCCAACCCATCACAAAGGCAACATAAAGTACCAGATAAAAACTTATTCAACTTCAATTCAGAAGAATGGCTTCTATGTCCAGAAAACATTCCATTGAGACCATTGCAGATTAACCAAGAACAGAATTAGAGAAAAATCGTAATTGCATTCCAAATCATGATCTAATAATAAATTCTCCCATTTCCTATTATTTTCTGTTTTTAAGTAGCGTTCAATGTCAAATGTGACAATGTACTTACTTGCTCTGTAGGAGGTGGGCACTCTAATTTCTTTGATTTTGATGGTGATGAAATTCTTGCACACTTATCATTGCTAATATTCTTTGGAAGCAAAAAAAAAGGGGGGGGGTCATTTTCTATTTCAAAGACCCACATTCTGGGATAACCGTGCTACCCTTATAGCTCACCTATCTGCACCTGACTGAATCCTCTAACAACTGAGTACTTTTTTCAATTGTATCTGGTCTTCAACAGGTAGGTAATTTTGCCGGCATGTCTTTATCACATCAAACTATAGGGCAGTTTTTACTAGGGGCATGGTTCCGAAACAGCATTTTTCCCTTAAAAATCTCAATCTGTAATACTATGGAGTAACAGAAAGTAAAGGTCATCATGGCAGTTGAAGTACTGCACCCCAGAAGAAATGGTTACAATTTGTGAGTGCATCAATTTTTCTCAAGCATTGTAACTTTCTCCCAATTTTTTTCTGCTTTTCTATTTCCATAACACTTTGTTACAGCTTCCCTGATGGCTCAGTAGTAGAGAATCTGCTTGTCGATATGGGTTCGACCCCTGGGTTTGGAAGATCCCCCAGAGAAGGAAACGGCAACCCACTCCAGTATTCTTGCCTGGAAAATCCCATGGACAGAGGAGCCTGGCAGGCTACAGTCCGTGGGGGTCACAAAAGAGCTGGACACAACTTAGTGACTCAACACCACTTGTTATAAAATGCTGAAGTCATCTCCATCTTTTTCCACACTACCACAGTGTTAAGGAAAAAGAAAAAGATGCGATTAGTATTCAGAACATTTACCTCCAATGTGCCTGGCTCAGGTTTTTTATCCAAGGGAATATGTCCATGGACAGAGTCTATAACAGATCAAGATAAAAAAGCCAGCATCAGCCACTAGTCAGGTGTGAGGACAGAACAACAAAACATGAAGACAGAGAAGTAAATAGTTTACTAGTAAACTACAGTAATAGTTCCAGACAGACAGCTGGAAGTAAATAGTTTTCACAATTATACACCACGCTTTATTTAGCTTGAGTCAAGGCTTCTCTGTAACAGTGGGATGTGACAGTACATTGCTCAATCATTAAAAAGTAAGAGTTCTTTTCCCCATGGCTGACTTTAGGCCAGAAACAGATCTCTAGCATCTGCTTTCAAATGATGAAATAACATACCTTTATCTTTCCGTTCTTCGGTGTCCATTCTCCGCCTGCTTCCTTTTCGATCACTTCCATGGGATGATTTTCTCTGGATGCCTGGGTTGCTACTCTGAGAAGCTGACTGGCTGACTGATGAACTCTTAAACAAAACCCAACACTTGGTGTTAAAAAATTTACTCACAAGTATATGAACAGAAGTCTTTTAATTAATCTTACTGTTCACACATCTGACTAAAAATCTCAAAATTCATCACCGTGTATAGGTAAACTTCCCAGCCTACAAAAAAAATACAACCTAGGGTTCATATTAAATACTCTACAGTAACTGGCTTATTAATAAGCCAAAGGATGAGGCAATCAGACACTTAGCCTAGTAGTTAAGACTTCTTCATATGCCAACATTTCAAGAAGCCACTGTGACCGAACCTGTACTATGCAACTGACATTTCCATTCTTTGCACAAAGAATAGCACCCTTCATACCAACCTTCAAAAGCAGCCACTGCAGAGCCACAGTCCTCTGGGGAAGTGGGAAGGCAGCCCCAAGGGCAAGAGGCAGATACAGTCACTAGGACTCTTCCCACTAAAATGCTACTGACTGTCAGCAAAGCCCCCCCAAGTTCTGCATGAGCTCCAGCTTCTAACTGGTGAAGCACGGGGACGGGAGTAAGTCTGGCTTTTCAGCTAAATGAAGGCCTCTGCTCTCCTGGGATCTGTGAGGAAAGGCTGCACACAGCTGAGAAGAGATCTCAGCCCTCAGTAGCAGGCCTTTTCTAGAAGACAAACCTGAGTCACTATCAAGTCCAAGACAGGCTCAAAAGCCTGTTTAAACACAATGAGTATGAAGACCTCATTTTAACAATCAAAACATTTCACCGTCTATTCCCACATTATAGTAGTAGTTTCTCACCATTCAATAACTGAAAAAAAGACAAAAAACTGTGAGTAGAAGCTTAAAAGATCGGTAGTTTTTTATTATCTAAATATTACGGAAAAATAACATATCACAGAGATAAACTACACTCAGAATAGAGGCCATGCCTAATTCACATATGAATTTGGGCACGTCTTCCAACAATTCCTGGGCTCCAATCCCTGGGCCAGCCTGAACTATACTACTCCAGGTGAGCTGGTCTCAGCTCAGCCTCTCCACCTCTTAAGAACTCCGCAAAGGCCAGGAAACAACGAGTGGGGCTTTAATGTTTTATACTGATACAAATGCACATACCAATACATAATATACACACACATACACACAGACACACGTGTACTACAAGGTAGCTTCTATGACATTCCCTTCTGCCTATTTACTCCACTGTTAAGAAAGTGTTCCAACCAGCGCTCACGCCTCACAGCTGCGTCACAAGCCATTTAGTGCCACTCACCGCTGTCAGACCGCAGGCTCAGGGAGCCCAGTGACCGCGCTCAAGCGGCTACCCTGTCCCTGTGTGCCAATGACCCTCCTCACACTGCATTTACTGCTTCCCCGTCTGCCTCCCTCAAAAGAATTAAGACACTCAAAGGCAGAGAACGTTTGTCTCGTCCCATCAAGCACCTGACACAGGGGGCAAGGGCAGAGCCCCAGCCTGCACCCACCACCGTCTCCAGCTGACTGCTCCGAACCACAGCTCTCACTTCTATGTACCAGGTTTCTCTTAATCGGTCCTGGGTATGTTTGACAAGGAACACTGAAAAGAATGTCCCAATTTTACAGAAGTATCTTTTAACTAAATTGTACACCGCCACTGCTTAGGGTAAGTCACTGGCTCTGGCTAGCAAAAACAAGCTTCATTTCAAAACAAAATACTCAACTTGAAGTCAGATAAACAATCAGCTCGCCTCAACTCTGCCACCAACTAGAAATATCTTTAGACCTCATTTGCCTCATGAACATGAAAAGGAGGGGCAGCTGCATCATCACCAAGGTAACCTTCAGTGTAAAAATGATTCGTCTGCCACTAGAAACTATGGTTGAGTACAAAAACCATATAAAGGAGAGACTTCTGAAGGGTAACTTTTCCAATTCCTTTTTATATACATACAGAAAGGGCTGGGAAAGCCTGTTCATCTCTGTTCTGAATCTCATAGAGTAAACGAGACTCTTCTATGGCTTGCTTCTCTCTGCGCTCTTCTGGAGAGAGGCCGAAATAGTTAGGTTCTCGAGTCGTGGCATCAAAATCCTCAGCTCTCTCACGATCAGCTTTTCTGTCAAATAAGACATTCTTGGATGAAAAAAAGACAATGTATTGCATACCTAAAATAATCTAAAATAACACTTTCATCAATACAAGTATAGCTTTTCTGTCAAATAAGACATTCTTGGATGAAAGAAAGACAATGTATTGCATACCTAAAATAATCTAAAATAACACTTTCATCAATACAAGTATTTGCTATCTTAGCTACACTGTGACATTACAGAACTTTTAGCTGCCCGATTAACAAATGTTTAGCAAGAGGAAGCACCTGAATTATTGGGATTTCAGAGTCAAGACGACAAACTTACAATACAGGAAAAGAAAAATATAACTCACTTCCAAATGATACACATTATCACAGAATTTTCTTCTCATTGGAGCATAAATATAAGCATTGTATCTTTTCTTTATGCCATATTCCAATATTTTCATAAGACTTCTCTTTCAAAGGAAAGGGACAGTTACTAGTTTAGGCCTCAAAAGCATTCTAATTTCTATTCTAAGTAAAGGACAATGTTAAAAGAAACACCAGGACTACTTACCTGCTTTTTAATAACACTATCAAGGGAGCATGAAAGCTGGTGGGGGGGAATGCACGAGGTGAGACACTAACTGTACTGCTGTCATCTCAACATAGCTTCGGTCAAAGGAGGAGACAACAGAGCTCATGAAGAGAGGCGAGCAGCCCACAGCATAGCCCTAACACCTCACTAACCATTACAGGCGGCATGAGTGCTACTTCTTCCATGCCTAACAGTTTCACAACAGTGGGAAATGAAAATCCAAAGCCTGAGAGAAAAATACGTGAAGAGACACCATCTCCCTAAAAAGAGCGGGAAGGACACAACTGATATCATCTGACTCTTTTCCCTCTGAAACAAAGAATGGCCGTTTCACATCCTCAGTCCCACTTAACCACATCCTAACTCCAACAGGGCGGATGTCAACCCTGGAGTCTTAGGTGAAAAAACAGGGGAGCGAGTTTGGACCCTCCATCTTGGACCGGTCCTTCTCAAACCCCTGTGGTGAAAGACTCCAAAGATGGCTCAGCAACGGCCACCAGTCTCTGCACAATCAACACTTGCTAACCACTCATCACCGAAGGCGCCAGCCTACCCCCCACCAGCCACAGAGCACCAAACCCTTCCTGTCTGGGCCGAGCTGGAAGGGAGCGTCCAGCCCAGCAGGTCGGTGGCTCTCCGCATCTGCGAACTGAAGGACACCGGGCAATCCTGCTGGTTCTTGTTATTCTCTGTTACTTTCTCAGAGGGAAGAGACAGTGTCCATGAGAAAGAGATTTCAGAAGCGTGAGAGGTCACAAGGTCTCATGCCCAACACCACTCATCTTTTATTCTATAACAAGAGTCCCAAATTAATGTGCTAAATATTAGAAATAAAGCCAAGATGAATTCTATGAACATTAAATCAATTGAGTATTTAGCTTAAAAATTCTAAATTTTGACTATAATTTTTTAAAGTCTACTTTATTCAATCATCTGCAGTCTCTAAATTTAATACATTAGCAAAATTCATTCTCGCACCTACATCCTTAAACCATTACTCACTGAAAATACAAGTGGGTTCCTACATCATCAATCACAATGTCAAAAAATCTCCAAAGTTTCACATCTATGCACTATCCACTGCCTTCTGCCATCAAGTGTTTTTATATACCAAGTAATATATGCCTAACACAAACAAGAAAACAACATCTATATGACAATTCAAATTCCTGTCAGACTGGAAAAACCACTAGAAGGCACACTGGATAAAAATTCGGTTTGTGGGAAACAGAAGTGCATGTGAGTCAGCCATTTGGTCCTCTTGGGTATTCCGCCTCTAGTGAGTAAGACTTCAGATGCCAGTGGAGTCTGGTCAGTGTCCGCATGTCAGACTTAAGCCACAACAAGGCGATTAAGGGCATCAGTTCCATCTTTTGGGGGAGGTAACCAACCCACCACGGGCCCCCATCGCCCCTGCCCACCATCACTGGATGTGCCAGGAACACAAGGCCCTGATTACTCTGTAATCAGGCCATTTCTCAGGGCTGTGTATGTACTGACCACCCTTGAGACATGAGGTAATTCTTTCTTATGATTGATTTTTAATCATTTGTTATCATTAGAATTTCCGGACAATCAGATTATGAATACATACACACTTTTTACACATGTTAAAATATCCCTGCCCTTAGGATACACAAGAATCTGTTAACACTGCCTCCGCAGAAGGAGAAGGAGAAGACTCTTAAGAGTCCCTAGGACTGCAAGAAGACCAAACCAGTCAGTCCTAACGGAGATCAACCCTGAATATTCACTGGAAGGACTGATGCTGAAGCTGAAACTCCAATACTCTGGCCACCTGATTCGAAGAACTGACTCCCTGAAAAAGATCCTGATGCTGGCAAAGAGTGAGGACAGGAGGAGCAGGGGATGGCAGAGAAGAGATGGTGGGATGGCATCATCGACTCAATTGACATCAGTTTGAGCAAACTCCAGGAGACGGTGAAGGACAGGGAAGCCTTGTGTGCCCAGTCCATGAGGTTGCAAAGAGTTGGACACAACCTAGTGACTGAACAACAACCGCAGAAGGAAGCTAGACCATTTGGATTAATGGGGATGGCAAGGAGAATTATCAGAACAAATTTTTGAGTGTTTTGGATTTTGAACGATATCAATTTTCTATCCTAAATTTTGTTCAAGTAAAAAGAAGAATGTAATGGGTGTGAGGTGTCAGTGTGAGTTATGAATTGGAACTGTCTCCCAAAAAGGCATGTTCAAGTCCCGCCCCTTGGGGTCTGTGCGTGTGACTTCATAAACAGGGTCTCTGCAGCAAGAGTGATCACACCAAAATGAAGTCACCGTGGAGCAGGGTAGGCCCGAAACCCACTATAACTGGTTCCTTACCAGAAGAGAGACATCCAGGGAGAACACGTGATGATGGCGGCAGAGACTTACATCCGCAAGCCATGGACTGCCAAGGACTGTGGACAACACCAAAAGTAGGCGACGCCTGGAACAGATTCTCCCCTAGAACCTTCAGAGGGCAGGCCCTACACCAAACCGTGACTTCAGACTTCCAGCCTCCAGAACTGTAACTCATTCTGTGGTTTTAAGCCTGTCGGGGTAGCAGGCTTCCAGAGCCCCAGAAAACAACATAGTATTGGCATTGTGTCAGCCTAAGAACCTACAACTCTGTCTTAAAGATGGTACATGAACTATCTTCAGTGACAAAGTGTTAAGGACGCTCCCAAGAAATGGGAATGCCCAAAAGCCAAAAATAAAGAAACTGAAGACCAGAGCCTGGCAAGCACATAGCCAGTCTAACAGCCGCTCAAGTAACTGGGGAGGTCGACCTCGGATGGGGAAGGTATCAGCCACAAGCACCCACAGGGGACACCGCCAAGGCTGTAGAAGAGGACGGCCTCCACCTAAGACACACTTTCTCAAATGACGCTCCTCTGAAGAACATAAACTATGCTGCCGCTCCATAAGCTACTCGGAGGAAGAGCAGGTTAGGGGAAATTTAAGATCAACACCACAGGAAACCATGACCCGGAAGCATATTCAGAAGCACGTGCCTCTGCACATTCAGTCAGAATGCTGATATCTCATGATCACAACAACCTGTTCAATATTAGACACATGACCGCAAACAGTCGTAACCTACCAGAACAAAGCAAGCTGACTGCTTTGGATGATTTAAGTTCATATTTAAAAGAAACTAACCTCACCCTGCAGGGAACTAGGAGTGCAAGCTAGAATTCAACGTTTAACACGTTACAGACTACCAGAAAACTATGCAGCGTCAGGAAAAGATCCGTCTAGGATAAGATCTAAATCACTGAAAAAAAGTTATTCAAAAATAAAGATGCCTAATTTCTAATCCAATCCTGAGAATATAAAGAAATACTATGTTGTTAAAAAAAAATTAACATGATACAGTATTATTAACTATACTACAGATTTTGTTCAAATTTCAGAAAATTTTATGTTAGTGTCCATTATTTGTTTTCATACTTTATTCAAGATTCCACATTGTATTTAGCTGCACTAAGCAGCTTCAGCTGCATGCAACCAATTCTGATAAATTCTTTCCATTTTTATTCTGCTACAAATATTTTCTAATTTTCCTTCTTTTAGCTTCTTAGATACACCCATTATTTGAAAGTGGACATTTAGTTTCCAAATACATGGGGTTTTAAAAGTGTCATTGAAACTGAGTTCTCATTCTGATATTAATTTTTCATTTAAATGCTTTCTTCTCTGCAATCACCCTCTGTGTCTTTCAGTCTTTTAACTCTACTGAGGCTTTCAATGGCTAAGTCAAAGATCTCTCATAGTAAATGTCACACTGCACTTGAAGTATGTGCTGCCGTCAGTCACTAAGTTGTGTCTGACTTTGCAACCCCATGAACTGTACCATACCAGGCTTCCCTGTTCTTCAGTCTCCCAGAGCTTGCTCACGCCCATTGTGTCAAGGATGCCATCCAACCATCTCATTCTCTGAAAATATGTGGGTTATTTTCAAACATCTTTTGATACTGATTTCCAATAGAATTCCACCATGATAAGAGAACAGACTATGATTTCAATACCTTTAGACCATGACATTTCTGCACCTCACTATATGTCCCCAGATATGTTCCCGTGACTCCTGGTTTACAATCTATGGTAACTTGAATACAATTTGTATCCTGCTGTCGTGTGAAAAATAAAAAAATCAAAATGTCTTAAACTACAAAATTACTTTGATTTGTGTGATGACAGTAATAAAGAACTGAAATTCTCACATTATTTTATCAACAATACTCTTACTATTAAGACTTTAGACAAGTATATGAACAAAAAAATTTAACTTTCTAAGTGCGTGGAACACAGCAAATAAGAAATGCTGGCTCACTTAACTTCCAGCTCTCCTGCATTCAGGAGGGTTACCTTATGATCTGTGAGGGTGTTCTGTTAAGATTTTTGTGCTCGCTGGAGGCTTTCTGAGACTGTGACGCAGCAGAGTGACTGGAGAATGCATGCTGTCTCACTCCCGAAGGATGCTGGAGGCGAGGAGGTAGAGCTGACGGTGCTTTTATTGGCTTGCTTGAGTTCTTTGGCCCTCTATAATCCACGTCTACGACACGAAGCCAAAAATACTTCGTAACTCTCCTATTGTCAACAACTCCAAGCACCATCCCCTCCCCGAAAGGAAGACTAACTTGATGAGCTCCTACCAGAATGGAAATTCTGTCCCGAAGGAGGTTTTTTCATCTTCTTCCCTGACACTGTGTTCCAGCTTTCTGAGGGAGGCGGTTTGAGGTTCTTCGGTGAGTATCTTTAAAGAGGAGAAAAAGACTTGAAGTAACCCGAAGTACTCTACTGAGACTGCACTTAAGTAGTCTACATGTATCTTTTATGTTCAATTTACCTAAGAATCTCCAGTCTTAGTTCGTATAGTAAAAACACACTATAAAGTACAAAGCATTCAGCAATCCACATGTAATTATAATCAAATGACAAAGGTCAAAAACATACTTTCTAACCTACAAGAACAGAAGCTTGAGGGGTCTTAATCACAATCTAAGCAAAAGGTTAGAGAAGGAAGGAAAGAAAACCATTCTGAGAGGTGTGATGACAGTGCTGTAGCTAAGGATGGGGAACGGAGAAGCTTCACTGTGTTAAGAGACGCACGCAGGCACACAAGCATCTACAAGCAATGGTGTGACGCCTGGGATCTACTTTCAAACATTCCAATTCTGCTCCTTTCCTCTGCTTTAAGGGGTTAGGGAGAAGAGATCAGAAAAGATGCCAAACCTGCTGCTAGCTATGAAACTAGGGTGACAGTTATCTTGGGGTTCACTTGACTACCCTCCTCAGTTGTGTATGTTTGAAATTCTCCATGGTAAAGTCTAGGTGGAGCTTACTACCTTTCCATCAAATAAAAGCTGCAGCAACTGAAACAAAAGTTGTTTTAAAGTAACACTGTATCATAGCAAGTGTTTCACTCCACCAGCTAATCATTTACTGAAAACTATGCAAGGGAGCAATGAATGAAATCAGAAATGAATACTGTCCCTGTCCTCCAAAGCTTCAGTTACAATAGACTTAGTTTTCCAAACTGCCTTAGTGAAAAATGGCACATTTTAAACAGTAAGCAATGAAATAAACATCTTTTATTTAAAATACCTTAACACATAAACACTAAATTTGAACACAAACTATTTTTCTAAGAGATCTAAAAAACTATTTCTGCATACACCCGCAGCACATTTAACCGAATTCGCACAGGGACATTTAGAAATGCTCATGACTACATCAGGCGAAGTGGAGGAGAAAGTGAATCAACACCTCAGCTGCCAACAGTACGTACCTCTTCCCAAGTTCTTCGACCAAAACTGGCCCATTCTCAGAGTGAACCCCCTGAAAGTCTGCATTAGAAAATTTTCCGTTGTGATCCAACCTAACCTGTTGAACAAATGCGCAAAGAAAAATCAGTCACCTGATGCTTTAGCATCAATGATTCATTTTTAAACTGCCATTTCATTTTCAACTAAAGCGCAGAGGAACACACATAGTTAAAAACAAAACTAAGTTCAAGAGTACATCATAATGCCTCTGATCTCCCAGACCTGTGTACCTGTGTATCTCTTTCCAAAATACTTTCCTTTGCTTACTTTTCCATTTTTTTTCTAAACTGTCAAGGTTCTGAAGGCAGGGCTGTGGCACCACACACAAACCAGGATTCCAGGTCCCACTTTTCTACTCAGCAGCAATATGACCTCAGGCAAGTAACTTATCTTGTGCTTCACTGCACTCATATGCAAGACAGGGCTAATTATAGTCTCTACATCACAGGCACCACGGAGGTGCAATGAGGTACGCATGATACATATAAAGGACACCAGTCTGCACACAGCAACCGCTCAACAAAGGCGAGCACCTGTTATGAAAATTACAGTATCTTCTCACTTTTCCAATATTTAAAACATTGTAATATGTAAATGTGACCTTTTGCTCCCTAAAAATAGATGCATCGTCTCTTCTCTAACATACAGTTGGTTATTACACAACAGCACATCACGACAGGATGTCTTTTGCTTTCCTTCTGTCAGAGGGCACCCCCAACCCTGCTCTAGCAGCCAGACGGACACAGCCCTGCTCAAAGCCACCTCCTCCCGTTATCAGTACCACTAGCCCTCAGCATCCGCAGGGGGACTGGGTCCAGAACTCGAGAACACCAGAACTCCCAGATGGGAACTAAAATGGCACCGAACAGTCACCCTCCCCAGCAAGAGGCAGAGGGACAGCAGCCGACCATTCCAAGGCCTCAAGCTGAGACTTCATTCTTTGGTCACAGTAGGATACTGCTTCCCTCTCCTCAAGAGTTTAAAAATAAAAAAGATTTTCTGAAGCTAATTTTTATTTCAAATTGAAACTACATTTACATGCTTACTTGAGTAAATGAAAGTCATCTTCAAGTCAGAGACCCTGGTGGCTCAGACGTAAAGAGTCCACCTGCCAATGCAGGAGACCTGGGTTTGATCCCTGGGTCGGGAAGATCCCCTGGAGGAGGAAATGGCAACCCACTCCAGTATTCCTGCCTGGAGAATCCCATGGACAGAGGAGCCTGGCAGGCTACGGTCAGTCCATGGGGTTGCAAAGAGTCAGACACAACTAAATGACTAACACTTTCACTTTCACACTTTCCATAAAATGTGACGGAATAAAATTTTAATTAAATTTTATCCAAGTGAAATAGTCAAGTAGTAGAAAAGGAAAATACTCTAAAAAGGAAAAAATTAAAACAAGCACCTGCTTTACCTTCCGCTTTATCAAGAGCATCTACTTTACGAAAGAAACCGAAACCTCAAATGAAATATGCTCGGTTTAAAATAATGACTGGAACACTTTTAGCGATAACAGTACAGAATAAGTACTTTCTCTTCGCTACTAAGAAGGATGAGGAGGGAGGGCCCTCTTCTCTTTTGTTCTCTGCCAAGTTCCCCAAATCACTATATAAGAGACTCCCAGATTCGGCTCTGTGCTTGGAGAACGCTTCTGACAGCCCTCAAAGTCACACCCTCCTCGACTTTAAAACGCCCTCGAATCAGCACACTACTGAGCGTCCTTCAGGTGCAGTCTGTCACTGACACCCAGGGACAATGCTGGTCCCCCAGACACCTTTCACAAACCACTTCATCATGCAGGAATGACTGCTTCCTCCACAAGTCAAGAAGAAGTGTCTCCCAATGGCTACTTCAAAATAGTTTTTAAAAGGTGACACTTTTTGATGAGAACCATCCTTGATGACAATTATCTTCCAAATAACAGTATTTTTGGTGTATGGGGGCTCTTTTTGTTTTAGAGTGAGTCACATTTTTCATAGACGTGTCTCTAGCCTTGGCATTATTAATATGGGGGCTCTTTTTGTTTTAGAGTGAGTCATATTTTTCATAGACGTGTCTCCAGCCTTGGCATTAGTAACACTGTGGACCAGATGAGCCCTTGCTGTGTGTGTGCTGGGGGGCGGGGGGCGGGGGGACGGGGGGTGTCCTGTGTATTCTAGGACGTCTGGCACCACACCTGGCCTCACTACCCTCATACCTACCCACGAGGTATCAGTAGTACCTTCCCAGGTGTAATGACCAAAAGTGTCTGCAGACACTGCTAGAGGGGAGGCAGGGGTGCAGTATCACTCCATGTAAGAAACGCGGACATAACTCAACTTTCCCCTTTAACAGTCAGCTGCAGTTAAGCCCAGAGCAGTAGCTTATTCAAAGTAAAAGGCAAAACTTCCCTAACTGTTCCCTTTCTTTTCACAATCCAACAAAAGAACTACATGTTGCATCAAAATTTCTCAGGATGACTTTCATAAACTAAACTGACCTGTAGTGTCAAGTCTGAATCAATTTCAGTACATTATCTGCCATCTATAACAAAAATATCTAAAAATCTAAAAATGTGACTGTTACGGCTTTGAAGTATGCTGTTAAGTTGCTTCAGTTGTATCCGACTCTTTGCAACCCCATGGACTGTGGCCCGCCAGGCTCCACTGTCCATGGGATTCTCCAGGCAAGAACACTGGAGTGGGTTGCCAAGCCCTCGTCCAGGGGATTTTCCCAACCCAAGGATCAAACCCAGGTCTCTTAGGTCTCCTGCACTGGCAGGCGGGCTCTACCACCAGCGCCACCCAGGAAGCCCAGCTGTAATGAAAATATCTAAAAATCTAAAATGTTATGCTACATCTTTGCAGCAAGTGCTATCAGAGACTGAACTGCTTTAAAGATCATGTGGAGGGCCGCAGAGTTTTAGATACACAAGATTTTGGTAATGCATTCAGAGGCTAAATATGTTTAACTATTAAAATGTATACATGATAAAATATATTCTGAAATCTCAAATTAACAACACATCCAAACTTAGCTGTTTTTTAGTTCCTATTAGAATATATAAGATTTCAAGTAAAATCTTTTCTTCCTCTACATAATCACTTACCTGGCATTTATCTCCAACTTCATACTGTAAGCCAGCAGCAATGGAATAATCATGCTTTTGTTGAGCTGTAAAGAATATCAGCATAATATCAAGTTGATGCAATCATTTTCAAGGGCCTCAAAGCAAATTTCTGGAAAATACAGATTTTTTTTTTAAAACTCACCTTGTTTAGACTTTAGCCAAATTTCATATTCCACATTTCTATAGACTGCTGGACTGAGTGACTTAAGAACCTTTCTAGACAAAGGAAGGCTAGGAGAGTTTCCATTGCTTTTCAGGTGCTAAGTAAACAAAGCCAAGAAGCCAAATCAACACAGAAATGCTTTTAAAATGTGTCTGAGATATGTATAAGAGAAAAATCAAAAGAAGAAAGCTTTAAAAATTAGGAAGTCACCAAAAAAATGTCTTATGAGATGATCCTGACTCTACTGAAAATGTACCAGAAAAGAGAAAAAAAATTAAGGCTATAAACTCGTAGCTTTTCTTATATTGAAGAAAAAGCATTAAATAAAAATACCTGATCACCGGACAAAGTTTTAAATCCATTCACATCATTAACAGTGGTAGGTTTACTCCTACAAAGGAAGAAATACAGGTATCATCAGGAGTATAAAAATGTTCACACACAATCACTTACTCTAACCTCACAGAAAAATCTCAGTTATAGTCCACAAAGTCAAAACCATATTCCAAGGAGCTCAAACAAATTGAAGAGTGCATATGTATATGTAAACACATACGTGATGTACATGTATGTGTCTATGCATCTAAGTCAAAGATTTTTTTTAAGTTTACCAGTTTATTGCTACCAACACATCTCCTCCACCCTCCTCATGCATGCGTGCTCAGTCATATAACCCCAAGGACTGCAGCCCGCCAGACTCCTCTGTCCATGGACTTTTCCAGGCAAGAGTACTGGAGTGGGTTGCCATTTCCTTCTCCAGTCAAAGATTTTTATCAGTAATTCGTACTGACTTAATCAACAAGAAGAGAAAAACAGAAATAAACTTTGAAATGTGGGATGACAGAGTAACTGAGTTTATAAGAACATTTAATGTAAAAACTTCCTTTCAAAAATGTATCAATAGATATGTGTGTATGTAAGTGTGTGCACTCAGTTGTGTCCAACTCTGTGATCCCATGGACTGCAGCCTGCTAGACTAGTCTCTGTCCATGGGATTTCCCGGCAAGAATACAGGGCTGAGTTGCCAGTTCCTTCTCCAGAGGACCTTTCAGACCCAGGGATCGAACCTGCATCGCTTGTGTCTCCTGCACTGGCAGGTGGGTTCTTTACCTGTTGAGCCACCAGGAAAGTCCATCAACAGATGAGGCTCCATTAAACAAAATACTCCACTACAAGATATACAGTCCGGTGAAAGTAGATACAAGCTAAATAAGTAATCAGTAATCAGTAATGCTGCTAAGTGCTTTGGGGAAAAAAAGGTAGAAAAACTACAGTGTTGAGGCCTAGCTCAAATAATTAAAAATGGGATAAAGAAAAATATCTTCTAGAATAAAGAATTAAAGGTGACGAGAGAGCAAACCGTATGGCTGTTCAGTACTGCAGGCGGATGGGAAGTTAAGTGCAAAGACCCTGGGGCAGCCAAGAGGCTGGTGAGGCTGGACAGAGGGCGGGCAGCTGACTGGGTAGTAAGGTGAGACGCTACCTGTATTCTTCTGTCACACACGTCCTCCTCCTTAACAAATCCGTCTCTAGTCCTTAGGCGTTATACCCCTAAATGCAGCAATATTTAAGGGACTCCATCTATCCAGAGCCTGGATTTAAAAAGCACCCTAATTCCTAATACTTCCAGATTTATCAATACGAATGTGGAAAGAATCCAGGCACAGAAGTACAAGGGCATCCTTGCTTTCTCCTCATTGCCATACCATGCCTATCTATCTTGCCATGATTACAGAGCAGTCTCCCCTAAATGGACCTTTGTCTTCCCTAAGCCAGACATGACACTAGTGAAGGAAACCGTAATAACGCAACAAAAAATTAATCAGAAAGGCCTCCACAGTCCCAGGGCTACAGTAATGCAGTATAAAAAGGAAAACTGATCATGACAATGTACACACCATCCCTGGTAAACTTCTACAAGCTTACTAGCCTCTACTCCACACTTCACCTGCCAGGTGCCATCCCAGACCCAGTTCTGCTAAAGCCATCACAACCACAGGGCATGTGCTGAAGTCCCCCCCACATCAACTCATGGTGATAAGTGAAACAAGCGAGTCATTCATTCTCCAGCCCAACTTCCCGTATGTTCCATAACATGCTTTCATCATACTGGGCACCTGCAGAAAACCATGGAGCACAATTTCCATATGTGCAAAGTCACTTAATCAATTCTAGGATTAATTTACAATGGTAGACCCAGATTTTAATCTGACTCATTTCTTTCTTAAGTAGAAATAGTAGTCAATCAAACTTTCAATCAGGATCAACCATTTAATTTAAGAAATGCCTGGAATCACAGATACAAGGAGGTATATTTTGTAAGTCTTTAATAAAGAATTAGATATCCTGAGGCTTAATTTCATCTTCCTCTAGTTTCACAGTACACAACATCACAGGATACTTTCATACAAAAAGAATAATACAACTTTCAGCTTCACTGAGGATAAAATCGGTTGGTTCTTAGAACATACAAAGTACATTCCTTAATATCACTGATAAAAACTCATACACATTGGACACTATACCTAGGAACTGGGCTGTGCATTGTACCCGTACATCTCATTTAATTCTTATACATTATCTACTTTAAAGAAATACGGACATATCCTCATTTATATCTAAGGGATTGAGGCTTTAAGCAACTTGCCCTAAGTTCAGTTAGTTGGCAGGAACCCAGGAATGAAACCAGGTCAGAATGTCCACAGCCCAAGCTCTTAGCCACTACCTTGTATGTTTTAAGTGGAAAAGAAAAATAAGTTTCAGACTCTAAGTTAAAAGGTGTTTATTCACACCATAAACAAACATAAATAAAAAACATTACTATCCAGAGCTGTTCACATATACTTATATTCCAACTTGGGATTTGTATCATATAAAAAGAAGAGGAGGCATTATCTAAGAAAGAAAACAAAGAAAGTCAAGGAAATCCAAATGGCCATTTTTCATCACTGGTTACTTAAGCAATTGACAGCCTAACCTGAAAACTTTAGAATATTCATACATAAGAAGTCAAAGTCGCTCAGTCGTGTCCAACTCTTGGCGACCTTGCAATTCTCTAGGCCAGCATACTGGAGTGGGTAGCCTTTCCCTTTCTCAGGGGATCTTCCCGACCCAGGGATCAAACCCAGGTCTCCCACATTGCAGACGGATTCTTTACCAACTGAGCTATGAGGGAAGCCTCCCAACACACACATAGGTAGAACCAAATCTATTTCAGAGATATATGCATCATGACTACACAGAAACAGATGCTTAGCAAAAACAAAGTTAAACAAACAAAAAATCAAATTCCGAAAGAAACAGTCCCATAATAGAAATGAGGTAACAGTAGTGCCAGGAAAAAAGAAACTTCTACTGCAGATTGCTGTACTTTAGAAATACCATTAATACCTCACTCAGTGAGGCAACTCCATACAAAAACGTTCACTGTGCTGTTTCCTTGTATGGCACTACAAAGGTACTTTAGGACAAAGTCACTCTTACTTGCAGCTGTCATCCTCGGAATCTGATATTTCACTGTTCTCTTCATCCGCTACTTCAGAGCTATCCAGGCCCATCAAGATCTTACTGACATCAGTTTTAAACACCTTCTCGTATAGCAATTCATAAAGCAGAGCTGCAGTTAACGAGAAAGAGATGTTACACAGCATTAATTTTATGTTCTAACATAAAACCCAGACACCAGGGCTTCTGAAACCTTAACTAAATACCTTGTAACACCTTATGACCAATAACACAATTTAATCAGAAAATTACCTAGAGAGCAGCTAGACTGGTCTTTGCAGTTAGTTCAGAATTATCCCTGCCTGTCGTCTGGATGATACTGAGGGAGATACAGATGGTGAGAAAGAGGGTCTCTTGGGGACTCGTTTGAGGGGCAGACACCACTGTGATGAATTCTTAGTGCACTTGTTTTGGTAAGGTTTCCCAATTAAAACAAATGGGAGTCCTGAACTCCACGCAGAGGTTTTGAGCATTTGGCAACATATTTCTATGTTTTCTGGAGTGTAGGTCTGTTTTTGTTTTCCTCTTTTTGTAAAGCAGAAACACTGTCTCAATATGCTTCCGTGGTTGCTGAGAATAAATTTTACAAAGGTTTCTTTTTAGTCCATTATGAAAAGGTATCTTCTTTCTAGCAAACTCAGTGTTCCCTAAGTTTTCCATCCAAGCCTCTTCAGGCTGGGTAGGTTGTGTGACCGCTCCAGTTGTTTCCTCCTGTGTGCGGCTGGAATGAGAGCACTTCACTGTGCCAGGATGAAATATGAAAGCAGTATGCAGAGGCTTAGCACAGCGTGCGCCATAGTTGGTCACTGCTCACTGTGCATGTTTAATTTTATCAGCCTTGGCTCACAGCTGTGATACCTTTTTGCATTGCTGTTAGCTTTAAATACGTTAATACATTAAATACAAGTAATATAAAATTGTAAATTGATCTGTTTTGAGATGTGAAGTTTGGCTGTCTGCATCCTGGGCTATGTTCTCTGCCTCTCCCAGTCAATCAAAAGCTGGACATTCCAGCTTTGAAAAGGCAGGCATCATGTGCTGTCTTTACTGGTCCCCCTTAGCTAAAGAATAGCGGGAAAAGGCTGTCATATGCCCAGCACAGTGCTTCATATGAGTCACATGCACTTTGTCAGAACAGATGATAAAGCAGATAAAGAAGGGAGGAAGGCGCTGCCACGGCAGTAATTCTCAGCTGGGAGAGGTGGAGAGGTTTTATCCTCCCAGGAAACACGTGGCAAAGTCTGGAGACATCTGTGGTCACAGAGGGGAGAGAGAGCCCTACTAGCATGTCAGAAGGGCAGTCACTTAGTTGTGTCCAACTCTGCGACTTCGCAAACACCCCTTCCATGGAATTCTCTAGGCAAGAATACTGCAGTGTGTTGCTATTCCCTTCTCTAAGGGATCTTCCTGATCCAGGAATCAAACCCAGGTCTCCAGCATTGCAGGCAGATTCTTTACCATCTGAGCCACCAGGGAAGTCCCACTATGGGCATAATAGATGCTAAACTTTCTACAATGTGCACAACAACCCCCAAAACAATGAATTATGTGCCCTAAGTATTAACAGTGCCAAGGTCAAGAAACCCTGGTCAAGTGACAAATACAATCAAATACTGATTTCCTGAATCATTTAGATTTTCAAGCTATGCACTAAAAGCTTTAAAAACATACAAATCTTTATTAACAATATTAATTATCACAGGAAAATATAACTTCGTATTTACAAGTCAAACTCTAATCTACTAGCACCTTTTTTCTATTGAAACAAGTTTTTATTAGAGTATTAAGATTTTTGGTAACCTAAAGTTGTCAGAAATGTATTCTTATGCAACAAAACAGTGTATCTGCCCTGAGTTGTCTGCTCAAGACCACAAAGCTTAGGAAGAAAATGTCTATGCCAACACGAGGGTGACACTTACACTGACACACAGCAGAGCTCTCTTTATACTTTATGGGGTAGACAATGTCATAATGATTTCCATTTGAAAAACACAGTAACACCTGAAAGGGAAAAACAGAATTCATCTTCCAGCCCTTCACATTCAGCATTTACACAGCTACTTACACCTCTAATATCTCTGAGTTACCAGTAAATAAATTTCCCAGTAGAATGTTTTAGAAGTAACCTAAAGCTGTAATGTGGTCATGATACATCCCTATGTTGAAATGTTACAAAGCCAATGAATCAGAAATTCCTAATGACTTGGGGAAACGTTTACTGCAGCACAAAAATCACACACAATCTGTAAGAACAAATGATTTCAACTATTGAAACAGAAGGGTTAGAAAACTGTAAGAAAATATTCTAAAACTTTAATAACGCTTACCCCTAAGGAGCAGAATCAAAAGTACATTTTTTTTTCTGCTTTACAGCTTTATGTACCTTCTAAATAATTGATCACTTATGCAAAGAGCAACGCACACTGACTTTGCTTAGACTATGTCATATATTCCAAAACTTACACTGTAAAGGCCAGATCTACAGCCATGCACCTCGGACACCCACAAGTCCTTACAAAGGCATATTTACCCCGGTTCCTTCCCCCGACACCATAAACGTGGTGACAAGACACTTCAACTTGGCCTGGATAACCCAATGCAGATCATGAACTAGTAATGAATCACGGTGCTTTTCCCCCCGCTTTCTAGGCTTTACATCATTTTTCAGTTGTTTCTGCTTTGTGACTTAGCCAGTAAACTACCTCTGTAATGTGATGGGAAACATATCACAGTTAAGTATTTTTGGATGCAACAGCAGAACCTATTTTCACAAGTTATTTTTCTATCTAATGTATATATTGATGTAAAACAGTAATAGTAGAGTTCATTGGAAGGACTGACACTGAAGCTGAAACTCCAATCTTTGGCCACCTCATGCGAAGAGTTGACTCACTGGAAAAGACCCTGATGCTGGGAGGGACTGGGGGCAGGAGGAGAAGGGGACGATACAAGATGAGATGGCTGGATGGCATCACCGACTCAATGGATATGAGTTTGAGTAAACTCTAGGAGTTGGTGACGGACAGGGAGGCCTGGTGTGCTGCGATTCATGGGGTCGCAAAGAGTCAGACATGACCGAGCAACTGAAATGAACTGAACTGAACTGAATGGGAAATATATCACAGTTAAGTGTTTCTGGATGCAACAGTAGAACCTATTTTCACAAGTTATTTTTCTATCTAATGTATATATTGATGTAAAACAGTAATAGTCGAGTTAATCACATACACTGGCATCTCAAGTATTTTTATCTAATAAAATGTCACAATAGAGTTCAACATCTGTGCGGAAAAACAAATACAAAATAATAAAACTTGTGAATGATTAATAAGAACTTTAAAAACTCAAAAAGTCACTTAAAAATTATAGCTCAGGCAGTCAAGATGGCAAGTGAGTGGTTCCTTTACTTGGTTCCTTTACTTAAATCCTTTAGAAGAACTTAGAACAATTCTTACCTTTTCAGGAAAATTATTCTCAGTTACTTGTGAAGGAGAAACATTTGGTTTCTGGTAAATTATAAAATCTTTCCTGAAAATAACATTTAGAAATTATTTCTTATGCAAGCACACTTCAGAAATTGAGATTTAACCATCCATTCATTCATTCACTCAAGAGTCAGGCACACCAAGCAACGTTCCAGGCACTGGATAAACAGCAGCGGACAAAAGGCAGTGATGGATAACTAGGCAGTAACACACTTATGCAAAAAGTATCCTTTTAAAAAAGCAAAATTTTAAATATAATTTTATATATAACTTCAGATAGAATTCTAAAAGTAGACCTCAAAACCACAGAAATCATGGAGATGAAATTTATAAAGACATTTTGAAAAGAAAAAATAAAATAGTCACCTGATCTGCTAACAGACAAAAAGTTGTAGAATTGACAATATGGTGCTTTGCCTTTGCTCTATCAGCCATTAAATGCTACCAGCCTTGAGAAAGTAGGAAATCGTTTCTCTAGAAGGTTTGTACGTGATTCTGCTATTTTTAACAACTTCGTTACAATGGAACATGTTAATTTCCCACTGACTTTATTTTTGTTTACCTGTTATTATAGGGCTTACCTGTACATAAGAGAAAGGGCACTTATTTCCACTTGTCCAACCCATTCCTGTATTGAAGAAAACAAGTTGGCCCATAAGAGTCTACTTTTTACAATACCTTAATACACATCTTTATATAATATACCTAATTAGCTAGAGGAGCTCATTAATATTTTTTTAATTTATTTAATTTCAGGATAATTGCTTTACAATATTGTGTTGCTTTCTGCCACATGTCAACATGAATCAATCACAGGGATATTTATGTCCCCTCCCTCTTGAAACTCCCTCCCACCTCCCACCCCAGCCCACCCTCTAAGTTGTCACAGAGCACCAGTCTGAGCTCCCTGCATCACACAGCAAATTCTCACTGGCTATCTACTTTACACACAGTAATAAAAATATGGTTCCACTCTACTCTCTCAATTCATCCCACCCTCTCCTTTCCCCACTGTGTCCACAAATCTTTTGTCTCTGTCTGCATCTCCACTGCTGCCCTGCAAACAGGTTCATCAGTGCCATTTTTCTAGGTTGCACATGTATGTATTAATACATGGTATTTGTTTCTTTCTGACTTAATTGGCTCTAGGTTCATCCTGGAACTGACTCAAATGCATTTTCTTTAATGGCCCGAAAAGCTCATTATTAGTACTACTGAGAATACTATAAAAATATTTTTATAAAATGAGCTATAATGTACACTAAAAAGCAGCCCAAGTCTTGGTAACAAATATCCTTAGTAACAGGGCTGGAATTAGAATTCCTATTGGTGTGGCAGGATGACATAGTATCTCTAAGTTGAGAACTTATAGGAGGCAGAGATTCCAACTGAGCACTCAGGACTGAGCCCACACACAGTATGTCCCCAGAAAGCAGGACCCTGACCAGAGGCAGCGCGTGGATCAGAAAGGGTGAGAAAGCGCAGGTCGGGTCTCTTCAGAATAATCGAAGGCACAAAAGAAAGCAGTGTACCAGGAATCATTTTAACATGTGGGAGAAGTTCTCATACTAAAGGAGTCACTTTAAGTCCTTAAGCTTTTCAGAAGCAAATGGCCAGTATGTATCAAAAATTTAAATACTCTAAGCTAGCAATTCAACTTCTATAGAACTATCCTAAAGAAATATTTCGTATGTCCACAAAACTGTATATAAACAAGGATGGCCGCTACAGCTATCTGTAACAATTTAAAAAAAATTTTTAAAGATAGCCCGAAGATTCCACTAATAGATAAGGAACAATTAAATAAATGTATCATTCACCCAAACTATGTATGGAAATATCATGCAATCACCAAAAAGAATGAGCTATACTCCTATGAAATGACCTGGAAGGATCACTCAGACTGTTGGAAGGATCACTCAGACTGTTAAGTGGAAAAAGTCAGTCAGTAAAATAACCCTATTGTGCAAAACAAAATAAATATATATAGACACATACACATAGAAAGAGAACAAAGATACATCCTAAATTGACAGTGGAAACAGGAATTTAAAGATGAGGGGGAAAGTAAGGATTTTCACTCTTCATTCTGTAATAAATCTTTGACCATGAGAATGTATTCCTAAACTATCTGTGAAATTAGTAAAGACTTAATACCAAGAGTTACTAAAAATAAGAACTATAGTAAATGAATGCTGCCACTTTCACCTTCAAAGAAGAGAGATTTGAGATAAGGAAAGGATTTTGGATGACGGTTTGAAATCCTCTCAGAGAAGGATCATCTTTCCCCACAGACTTTGCACCTCAATAAATCTTAAAAGTTGGCTCTGTTTTTCAAAATGAAATAGGTGCCATACATTAAAATAGATTTATTAAAATAGGCCTCTGCCTAACAATCACAGCCTCTCATAAACTCCACAAGCAATACCTTCTGGTATAGAGGAAATCCTTCCCTGAAACCATCTGCTGAGATCTTAAACCCAAGGTTATTCCATTTTGTGCAGAATGATTGCATCACTTCTCATGTCAACAAGACACTACCTCCCAAATAAGGTACCATTTTGTAAGTATTTAATCTTCAGAATAAATTCTGTTGTAGTCTGGTTAAGTAGGCAATGGCCATTATATCTTGCCTTCTCTAACAATTTTGATTTTTTTTTAAACTTATGTTCTATCATTGTCTTCTACCTGAACGCTATAATTTTACTTACTCAACACTCTGTATGTTTAGCCTGCTTTCTCATTGAGGGTAAGAGCCCACCATTTCTACAAATATACTTTAACTAAAGAACTATACTGTATCAAAAACACTAATTTAAATGTTCTTAGATAGTCATCAAAAGCAAACTTTCATTCCTCAAAAGACACTATTAAGAACACTAAAAGGTAAGATACAAACAGGAAGAAAGTACTGGAAAATATATATCCAGTACAGAATTTATTATACTTGGTATAAAATACTCTTATAATTCAACAAAAGCAAAATAATAAAGCACAGAATCTATGAGCAAGACATTTCACCAACGAAGAGATACAGATGGAAAATAAGCACATGGAAAGATTCTCAACACGACTAGAGAAATGCAAGTTAAGATCACAGCGAGACACCACCACACAGCCACTAACACAGCTACGATTTTAAAAGGCTGATGATATTGAGTGTTGATGAAGATGCAGAGCAACTGGAATTCTCACTCACTGCTAATGACAAAGCAAAGCGGCACAGCCACTTTGGGAAACAGATTAGCAATTTCTCATTAAGTGAAACATGCACTGACCATATGACCCAGGAATTCCACTCTCAATAATATTAACAATCTTAATTAAGAGAAAAGAAAACATATGTCCATAGAAAGACTTGCAACCAAATACTCTTAGCAGCTTTAATAACAGCAGCAAACTGGGAAGAAATCATATATCCATCAACTTGTAAATTGCTAAAGCAAGCTGCAGCACATCCATACAATGCACGGCCACTCGGCAATAAAAATGAACTATCACACAAAGGGCAACACAGATGAATCTCAAAGCGCTCCCATTATGCTAAGTGAAAGCGGCCAGACACACAAGACTACAAGCCACATCGTTCTATTTGTTCCAGTCTCGAACAGGCAAAACTCCGCACACGGGTGGGTGCAGGGGGAGAGTCAAGGCCAACTGCCAAAAGGTACAAGAGACTTTCTGGAGAGACGGAAATGCCTCGTGTGGTTTGGGGTGGGGATCACCCAGCTGTATGCATCTGCCAGATTTCATCAAATTACAGACTTAAAACATTTATCACATGTCAACTTTAATTCTTTTTGAGGAGTTTTTCAAAATGCTCCACTGATATTTTTAAGAAAAAAGGAGAAAGCCTTCTTTCTCTGAGAACTGGGTGATGCACTGGAGCTTATCAACTGACGACATTTCTCTTCATTTCATACATTCCATGTACCGGGGAGAAGGAGAACCAAGGCAGAGGCATTTACTGCTAGTAAGAACAAGCTGTGAGAACCAACCTGTTCTGTCAGAAGGCACCGACATCTGGAGGAGGTCTGCCCAGACTGCGGAGGGGAGTGCCCTGGGAATAACACAGCTGGCGGCCCGCACCCTGGGAAGGAGACACCTGTTCCCCGGCGCTCAGAACTGCAGCGACCCGCCCGCCCCGCCCCTGCAGGTCCCCAAGTCAACCTCCAGTCCGTTCACACGGCCTCACTCCCCTCCCCGCCCCCTTCTCTCTCAGGAAGTCTCTTCTATCCTTTCTCAGACCCTCACAGCCCAAGAGCCTGAACTGTTCACAAAGATTACCATAAAATCATATTGGGGGGTTTTCTCTGACTAAAAATTTATAAATGCTCTTTGTCGTTCCCTTCATCTTCTACAAAGGAAATAAAAACCACCAGGAGTAGCTGGAGAGAACTGTTAACGTTCTGGTGTTTAATCTTTCCTATCTGTGACGGAGGCCAATGCGGGAGACTCAGGTTCAATCCCTGGGTCAAGAAGACCCCCTGGAGAGAATGGCGCCCCACTCGTGTTCCTGACTGGGAAATCCCACGGACAGAGGGGACTAGCGGGCTCACGGTCCACAGGGTCACAAGAAGTCAGACTGTGACTGGAGCGACGGAACAGCAGCAGCACTGCAGCAATCCCCTGCACCTCTCAGGAGGCACGCGCCTTCCCACCGGCACCGCGCACCCCGCACCCCGCCCTGCTGCAGGGGCGCTCCCGAGAAGGGCATCCAGAGCCCAGCGCCTTCCGCTGCCCCGGGGCCCGGCGTTCGTAGCCCACAGCCAGCACTCAAATTAGAGTCAGGGACTCAAAGAGACCCCACACGCTGGCGAAACCCCTTCCTCCCCTTAGTACACCCTCTCCTCCCCATGTGACGCCTCTTGGCAGCGTCTTTGTTGTGGTTTTAAATCTAACAGTGATCATCTCTGGGGATGAGGGAACATTCTACAGGCCATTCCGTTAACATTTGGATTTTTACACAAAGAGCATTAGGTTTCTCAGCAGGAGAAGAGAAAATAACAAACAGAAAACTTCTTTTAATTTCCAAGTGACTGAGAAAGTGCTGGCAGTGGGAGTCGGTGGGGAAGGGCTTTCCTTAATCCTCAGCAGTCTCTTCCCACTTCTTGCACTGACCACGTTAAGCGCAATGGACCCTGTCTTGTCAGCTGCCTAAGGAAGCAATCGAATATTGCCCTGTCCACCAAGCCCCACGCACACACCAACACCACACTCTGGAAATCCTCTCGGTGCTATTTCAGGTCTTTATACTACATTCACGAGTCGTCACGACAGATCAAGAAAGCATGACTCTGTCCCAAGTGAGGCAACGCTCATGGCACATATACAGCACCAGCCGTCTTCCAATTAAACGTGCACCTAAGACAGGAACTGTGCATAAGGAAACTCCTCCAAACACTGTAATACTCACCTCACACTGTAATGAATTTGGAATACATTATTTAAGATACAAAAGAAATATATTACAAGATTACTACATACCTGTGGATTTTCCAAACGTTTTAAATATTCTTCAAATGACCCTTCTATAAACTGCAAAAAGGGAAAAAAGGCCTATCAGAAATCCATCAAAAGTTACTTTCTTCACTGTGAATTACTGAATTCTTACACAAACCTTGGATACAACAGTAACAGTAAGATATATATATACACACACACAAACACACAGAAAAAAATCTAATTATGAAAATATGTACAAATTATTAAGAAAACATCATAAAGATCCAACAGAATTTTAAGAAGGAAACACGGCAGGCACCATTTCCTGGACAGGATCTGGGGGGGCACTGGGACAGCACCCCGTGAGGCGGCGGCAGTGGGGGGGATCACCTGCACCGCAAGAGGGGGGGCTGCTTCGCGGGGTGAGCACAGTGAGAGAGGAGCTCGCCTGCTCACCTGCCTATGCCAGGAGCAGGGGCAGGACTATCAGACCGAGGGAGGAGACATGCAAGGTGACATCGACAGAGAATTTACATGGTTAAAGCAGCACTTAAAGACTAACTGGGTAATGGCCAATGCTTAGAAGAGCGCTAAAGACAGATGCAAGAGCTAAGAAATATTAGTTCCCTAACAGACATGAACAGTCATTGTCTCTTAGATCAATTACACTAAAAACAAACAAGAACTAATAATGCTAAAGATATTTTGAAGAATCAACATTTTTCTAATCCAGCTTGTCTTGTTGTTATTTAAAAAAAAAAAATCTGATTTGATTCAAGCTATATGATTACATTTTTTGCTTTTCTCATAGCAATTGCACTAATTTAATTGAGAAAACTCTAAAAGACACTCATCTGAAACACCAAATTCAATTTTATTTCAATTAAAGTCTCAGTTAATTTAGCAAAGTGATATACTTAAAAACATTAAAATATATTGCTTGGTCTATAAAAAACTTTTAAATGCCCTTTTTTTAAGACAGAGATTAATTCTTTTATTGATGAAATACTCTAATTTCCAAAAGTATCCTAAGTTTAAATGCATACTTGCACTGAAACAGTCAAATATTTGAAATATTCCACCAATCAGAGGCTACTGTTCTCTATTAGTTTATTATTTATAGAATTTAAAGAAATAAAACAACCTCACAGAACCATTCAAAGTTGCAAGAGACTTAAGCTGTGGTCTGACACAAGACTGCATCCAACTGATTCTTCTTAATCAGAAAGTACTTACCTAGGCCCTGACTTAACATTTTCAATAAAAAAGCACATCCCTCTACACTAGACAGTCTTTCCCAATTCTGGTAAATAGAAACTGGTAGAGGTATTCACTGTAAAGAAAGTGAAACTTTCCCCCTCAGAACTTTCAGCCTCAGATCATACCCCCCAAGACTGTAAGAGCTGAATGAATATATGCAAAGCGCTTAAAACAATGCCTGCTGACACAAATGCTCAACAAACGCTAGCAATTTCCGTGACTGTCAACAGAACTTACCCTCTGGAGCCAATATTAACTAATTCACTTGTAGTTTCTTCAAATAGTTAAAGACCACCTCTCTACCCTACCTTCCTCTCTGCCATAATACCCTCTTATCTAGCCTCCACATAACCAGCTTTTTAAAATAAGACAAGTTTTCAAATCTTCTAATCAAGCAGGTAACTCTCCTTCCTGGAATATATTACTGTTCATCTTAAAACATGGCATCCAGAAAAATGTCACCAGTAATAAAATTTTGCTTAAAAATAGCAATTCCAACCCAAGAGCACCTTTAAACACTATTTACCTATTAAGTCTTAGAATTGGGTTACATGCAAAGTGTCAACGTTCTTTTGGCAGTCAACGGGGAGAAAATACCACTAAAGGTTGTCAGATGATAATTCTACATTATAAAACCAATAACCAGTAAATCTTACAAGGCTTTCAATGTAAAATGAAAATAGGTCACCGTGGCATCTACTACAGCCTACTACTAAGAAAATTACAGTCAGTTGATAAGACATTCTGTTAAGTACTAATTAGCTACACTACATTCTATTAACTACTAATCATTATTTATATAATTACAATGTTCTGATATGTAGTTCATAATGATGAACCCTGTAAATTAAAAACCTATAAATACCTCCCGATAAAATCAGAGGCTCAACATCAGCTATGCTCAGTCTACTTCTTACACACCAAGGTCTGCGATTTTTTACAGTTCACAGGGGGTCACCAATCCCTGGTCATGTCAGACACGGCTCACTAGTAACATGCTCAGGTCCCGCCCAAGTCACCCCTCCAGCCTCCGCAGATGTGATCCATCTGTCACAGCAGCTTTCTCAATGTCTGAATAAATGAACACCACAAGATGGCCTTTAAAACAAACAAAAAAATCACAGCTGACTATGGATTTGAATTCAAAAAAGCAGTTTGTCTTTATAAGGTTTATCCTCATAACCTACAATCAGATCCAACCTGTGAAATTCCCACTTGACCACTCGAACGGCTAACATGTACCTATGAGTCAAGGCACCGTTACACGTTTAAAATTATCAGTCACCTCTTCAAACTTCTCTCGGTTCTCCCGCAGGTAATGGATGCAGGCCATCCTGACTTCGACGTGGCGAGACTGGGAGTGCAGCACCTGTGGAGGCGAGAGCAGCAGTCTCAAGCCCTGCTGGAAGCCACCGCGGGGCTGTGACCGGGTGCCTTCCTTCTCACCCAGCACACCCTCACCGCCAGCAGACGTCCGTCTCCACTTCCCTGTCATTTCTAACTCTGCCTTCACTCTCACCTCTTCCAGGAACCCGGGAGCTGACGTACCCCATGCCGTTGACAGCAGTGCTTCTTAAGCCAGATGTCACTCGATGGACAGCCTGTTAGCATTTCTCCTGCAGGGCACTGAGACCATCCCTTTGGGGAAATTTTTGTAAACTTACACTTCCCTCTCCTGGCCACCCCTCTACTATTACTGTGCTCCTCACAAAGCAGAGCTGACAGAATCCCTGCTACCTAGTGCTCAGCTTCATCCTCGGCTTGTTGGAAAAGAGAATGAAGAGGTGACTTCAACAAAAAAATAAGTCTTTGAGGCTTTCTGCTGTAATAGAGAAATTGCTTTTTCTCAGTAACTTTGAATTACCTGCCTTATGTATAAATGTTAGTCCACTGTGGTTTGAGAAAAATTAAGGCACTCATTCTTAAATCCTCAGCTGTAAGGCTTACACGATTCTGGAAAGAGCATCCAGGGAGCAGCACACAGGATGCAATCATGTCTCTGTGTGTTATCATCCCAATGGCTTTCAAACATGCTCTTCTGCCCCAAATCTTAAAGCACCACCCGCAATAAGCCATACTACGGACATGACCCACACCCTCTCACTCTACAGCCTCTTCTGTTAAACAACTAGTTCAACAAAAGAATAACTTACTGGCATTTTGTCTCTTAAAGAAGTCTAAACCCTTTGGCCAGTCTCTAATACTTTACCATACTAAAAAAAGGACATTAAAATTGTTTTGTACTACTAGGCGTCTCAAACGAAGGTGTTCCTGCTACCCTACAAGGTCAAGGAAGGAGGGAAAAAAACCGACATTTAAAATAACATCTCAAAATTACTATCCGGGGCTCTTGAGAATTTCTATTATTATAAAGTAGCTTTAAGAGTTAACAGTTTCAACTGAGTGAGTCTCCCTTATGTTCAGGGTGAGCAGAGAATTCAGGAAAAGGAAGGCTCCAGTTGCACCTGTTACAGGTCTCTCTGGATAACAGCCAAGGCTCACTTATACCCATGGAACCAAGAGGCACAACCACCTGGAGAGCTAGCAGGTCCCTTTTACATTCAGATACTCTGACACTGCGTTAACTGAGGTTAGCATACTAGCTGCTTTTCAGCTTAACAAGTATGCGAACACTGCTGTCTTTAGGAACTACAAAACAGCATCCATCCTTACATACTCTAAGCCTCCAGTACTGGAAGGACTATCCAAATGCAAAAATAACCACCACACAAATTTTTTTGCCCATTCAACAAATGACACTTAGTAACGCTTCCTTCACAGAAGCTACGCTAGACTCTATTATGAATCAACATGTTAGTCTGAGTAAACCAGTGTCATCCCATAGGGCATTTCTGCCATTAGCAGAGTGAAGCTAGTCTTATAGTCATTTACCTAGCAACAGGCGGCAGACATAAGTCAATAAAGCTTATGATTTTACATCAAACACAATGACAGGCATGTTTTTTCTCTAACAAACATTTCATTAGCACATGAAATCTGAACCTGTTACTCAGAAGCAAAATTCTCAGTGCGAGGTGCCCAGGGTGCTGGAGCTTTACAGAGCAAAGGAATGTTAAGAGAAACGAGGCTAAATCACAACTGTTGAAAAGCAAGTTCAAGGGCACTCAGGAAGAATTCAAATGGTATGACAAATATCTTTGCAAATTATTATATACATGAAAATAACCTAGAAATAGGAGGCTTTCCAACCTTAGGGCAGACAAAGATAAACACAGAGAAAGGCTGAGACACTCTGCTTTCACCAAGCCCTCTAAGAGGGCCCTATTTTTAGCTCCAGGGCCACAGAGCTGATTCAGGTCAGGCCTCCTGCATGCCCCAGGCCAGAAGCGTAAAAAGGGAAGGGGTTATTTAAATCAGGTAATTTGGAGAGGAAGACTCTGGCTAAATCAAGTCTCCCCCTCTGCATTTCCCCTGCCAAAGGCTGCCATTGAGATCACTTACTGTGACTCCCTGGTGGAAATGGTAGTTACTTTAACATTACTGGAGAAATTGTTGGCTAAAAGTCAGTCCTTTGTGCACACTGTTAAAGGGCAGCCTGAGGATGCTGTTACTCCCCTCCCCACCACCAACACACACGCCGCCTTTGGCCATGAAGACACTACCTGTGGTCCACGTCTACCGAAGAACAGAGTTTGCCCCAAGAGTCACCGTAGCAAACTTTCTACAAGCTCAGGATACTAAAAGGCAGCGTCGCATAAATGGACATTCCCTCATGCCTAATTTAAATCCCATCACAGTGAGATATAATAAAATGCATTAGCTACTGCTAGCAATGAGCTAGCTATTGTTCCTTTCTACTAAAAAGGAGTCTATACAATGAGTCTGCCAATTATCTACAGCAAGTAGTTCTGAAACCAGCCACACCTTTCTACTTCAATATAAACTAAGATGTGGATAATCCAACTCCAAACAAGCACCATACTTCTCGTATTTCTATTTGCTTCCACCTCTTTCCTTACCAAATTCTTGCTAGAGCCAATTAATATGTTTCAATAGGGACTGAATTCACTTCCACATCTTCCCTCTGCTTCTGGAGGTGATGAGGAGACTCAGGAGGCTGAGACGGATGAAGCAGGGCAGATGGTGATCCGGAAAACTCACGAATGGGACAGAGTGTTTACCTACTAATAGTTAAGACTGGGATCTGTTTGTGTAAACATCTCCCAAGGCAACATTAGAACATCTTAAAATTCTAAAAATAAGAGAAATCGATTGAACTGAAAAAGACACAGCTCAGTTTGGGGAGCTTTGTGAAAATGTGTGAATGACAATGCCAGCCACAAAATGCAAAGGTTTGGACCAGCTACATCAATTTCTTGTTTCAAAAAAAAAAAAAAGGATCTTATGCTACTGATGTGAAAACGAGGGCCTTTGGAAAATAAGTGGCTGGCCTTTGGACCTCGGAAAAAAATAAAAATAGACTGGTCTATAGATGTTTAGGAAAACATTTACTCACAAAAAGAAATTCCGAGAGCTACTTAGCATTAAAAAAGGTGAGAGAAAGACAAACAGAAAAACTCCAAAGGCAGGCAGGAGAGGGAAGGGGTAGATCTTATACCAAAGGAAAGCAAACTGAACGGGAGGATATACACACCAGGGCGGTAATGTGAAACTTATGTCCAACCAATTCAACAGCTATTTTTCAATACAGGATGGGTCTGGGTGACTGCACACCTACCAACTACAGTGTTACATAACAGGGAATAAGCTCTCTTACCAAAAAAAATAAATCAGAAACATCCTCCCAAGAACTGTATTACAAAGTGATTTTAACCAGTAAGGGGGAAGAATTCTGCCAAGAACCTAAAGGACCCCATATACAGTCTTCCTTCCTACTTCCAACTTTAAAACACTTTTTCTCAGTCAATTATTTTTTAGTTCACCTACACTGCCTTTCAGAGCATTAAAAGACGGTGGAATCTACTCAAAGACAATTCTGTGCAAACATTCTACATTTTCTAAAGTCTGGTTTTCCCAAACTGCGTATTTCCCCACTCCTGACTCAGGTGGACATCCGCGGGCTTGGCTACCCCACGTTCCAAAGTCCAGTAACTGGGGCGGGGAGGGAATCATGATCCCACAAGTCGAGTCTGGTGCACCACCTCCTCTAGTAAACATTCTGCTTACTGGTGTGAAGGCTGTGCTTGTAAAGCCAAAAGGGGAGGCGAAAAACAGCATTTCGCCAAGTTCCCACCCCTCCAGCAAAGGTGCAGACTCTCCGGCAGGCCTCACGGGCTAGCTTCAACTCATTACCTCTTCGCCAGGAGGGACGACACCCAGATAATTTACAGGTTTTTAAGTTTCGATTCGGAGCTCCCAGTCCCAGGGCAGCGTCCGGTTCCGGGGCGACAATGGGCCGCTGTGACGCCTGCGGGACCACGCGCAGCCCGGATGGGGGGGGGGGGGGGGAGGCGGGCAGCCCTGCCCGCCCGCCGCTTCCCACCCGGCCCCCAGCCGATCGCCCCCTCCGGCCCCCGCCCCATTACCTGCTCCGCCACGGCTCGGAACAAGCACGACCCGTCCTTGGCGACCAGTTTCCGATACAAGCCCAGGGTCCGCAGATAGGCGTCCATGGGCGTCGCGTCCTCGCGGGGCGCCGCGCCGCCCCGGTCGCCGCCGTCGGGGGCGCCGACGGCCGCCTCCATGTTGCCGGTCGAGCAGCAGGCCCGGCGCGGCGCGGGCTAGCCCCACATGGCCGCGCCGCCGGCTCCTGGACGCCCCGGCCGGGGGCGGGCAGCGGCTGGGGCTCGGGCTCCGGCTCGCGCTGGGCGGGCGGCGGCAGGCGGCGGCGGCGGCCCGAGGCGGCGGTGCGCGCGCATAGGGAGCCCTGCCTAGTGCATGGCCGGGCGCACGCGGCCGCCTCCCGCGGGGCCACGCGCCCGGGGGGAACGAGGCGGGGAATTCACCAAAACCTCAAGCGAGCAGTCACTTGACGCGGGCCTCGCCGCCCGGCTCAGCCACTGGGGCCCGGGGGTCCCGCCCCCCACACACAAGTTTCCTCGCCAGACCCGGCGGAGGCGAGGAAACCCCGCAACCCGAGCGCGCCGGCCCGGACGCTTGGTGAAAGCTAGGCCTGTGGGCCCCCACACCGGGAGCCGAGGAAGCCGAGAGAGAAAGGCGCGGCCTTATCGTCTCCCCACCTCGCAGGAGGGCGCCGGAGGGGCGGGGAGCGGGCGGGGGCGCCCGGCGGGAGGGCAGCACCCTCGCAGCCCAGAATGTGTTTTCGCTTTCGGCCCCGACCGCGGAGAGGACGGCGGGAGGTGTAGTTTGGGCAGCGGCAGGAAGTCGGCCTGCGGCGGGCGGGGACGCGCGGCCGGCCTACCCGGTGGGGGGAGGGGCCCGGGAGCCGCGCGGACTACAAATCCCTACAGCGCGGCCGCCGCCGCCACCCGGAGCCGGCTTCACGCTTCCCAGGCACCGCGCGTCCTCGAGCAGGCCGAGGGTCTCCGCCTGCAGACGCGCGGAGACCTGCGCGCGCCGCCCCGCCCGGCCGGCCGCCCGCCCACCCGCCCTCCCTCTGCGCCGCGGGCCTGCGGGATGTGCGCGCGCCCTGCGTGCGTGGAGTTGCCAGGGACACGGAGGCCGCTGGGTCGGCCCTTTGTGTATTTCCAGAGGGCGCACCTGTCCGCTCCCCTCCCCCCCCCCCCGCCCCCGGCCCTTCCCCTGACGTTTCCATGGAGGTGGCTTTAACGGCTTAAGCAGAAAATAGACCTAATTGGCGAAGGCTCCTGGAACTCGCGTCGTGCGGGGCGATACTGGCTGTCCATAAATCAGCCGTGGACTGCTAATTCCTATTAGAGATTAGAAATACAGCTCTGGCGGTATATAGCAAGATGATGCCTTTGCCACAGACATTTTGGTTCACCCTGCCACTGTAGCTGCCCACCCCAGCACAAAGGGATGTCGCTGGTCGGAAAAACTTAAGATTTTTTTTCCTTTTTTTTTTTCCTTTTTTAAAAAAAAACCATCTTGTAATTGTTTGATAGCGTGCTGGACGTGCCCTGGTTTCCAGTGGTGCTTGCTGGAGAATTCCTGTTCAACTTCCCACCCTGCGAAGTTGAATGACAGTGTATACCTTTAGAACCTAGAATTTATCCAGCTTGTTTTTGTGACACCAGAATTTTATTTTTATTCAAGTACAACAGCATCTGGTATCCCAGTCTTTTAAATACACGGTTAATCATAAAATCTACTCTCCAAGCCATGGTGCGGCAGGGTGGGGCTGGGGAGACTGAAGAGTTACTGTAGGTTTAGACATGTGGTCAAACAGACTCTTTGGAATGGGGGGCAAGGCAGGCCAGATGGTGAGAGTCCAGTGCAAATTACTGAAAATTCTATTTGAGAAATCTGTTCTCAGTACTTGGTGCAAACAATGACTCGTGTGTTCACTCTCCTTGGAAAGTTTAGATTTGATTTCTTAAGGTTTAAAGATTCAAATATCCAATGGTGCTGTTTTTAGAGAAGGCAAAAAAAGGATTCTGACCTAAATGAATTTTCTTGTCCCACTATTGAATTTTGTACATTTTGTAGAGAAATACACTTCACAATCCCTTTTAGAAAAATCTAGTTTCAAGTCAAACCTGTTGCTTTTCTCTCTTTAAAAATACATAATTTAAAATATATGATTGCACTCTCATTCCACTCAAAAAGAACCTCTCAGTTTTTCCACTACTTACAATATGGCATTTTCTTTTTATAAATATGACTTGCCTTTTAAACCCACAGAGGAATTGAGAGTAAAGTAATATCTAAACAATAGATTAAATATTGAATTCTTAAAATGAGTAGATTCTGTAGTATTAATAAGCAACAGACTTTCTTATATGCCAAAAGAAAAACATGCCTTTTCCTAACATTTATGTCATTTAGAAATAAGAGTTCTGAAGCTAATCTCCAAATCAATAGGTATTTATGGAAAATCTACTGTGTCTAGCATGCTAGACAACTGCATTGCTAATTATCTTGAGAACATTATTAGAAACATATTTCCAGGGGCCTCACGTTTGAAAATTTATCAAACCTTATTTTGTAATTGAAATGTTCAAGACTACATTGTGATTAATTTTTAGAAGTCATTAAAAAGCTTTGCTCACTTTCTATATGTGCAATAATTTCATTTTGAGTGGCTAATAATGTTTCAAGCATATTTTTAATTTTAAGCCTTATCTATATTTTAATCTTATTTGAATGTGCTTACATACATACATTTTTTTAAATGGAATATCACTATTTTTTAAAGCCCCCAGATTCCTTTGAAACACTTTGAAAAGGAAACCAAATACATCATTAACACTACCATGTCTTTATTTTCTATTCCAAAAATGTAATTCACTCACAAATGTACAAATAAATGAATACGATCATTTAAATAAGTAGTTGACACTACAGTTGACTTAATATTTTTTAAATGAATCATTAAATACTAAGAAAACAGAGGCTCTAATCAGAATTCGTCACCATTCTATGTAATCTTATAAAAATGTGGTTTGTTATCAGAGTACTAGAAGAATAACACATTTCTACACTTGATGTAGACATTTCTACACTTGATGTCCTGACAAAATTACTTACTATCCTCATTCCTGCTAAATGAGTGTAGATCAGCCTCACTCTAAACTGCCTGTTTCTGCTTCCAAAATTAGAAATAAAACACCTGTTGTATCTGACCAGGGGCCTGTTTAAGGAAATCCTTTAGGTATTTTGAGACCTGATCCAAGACAGACCCTCTGTATGCCAAATCCCCAAATATAGCTCCCTGTTTAGGCAACATTAAAGGATCCTATGACTTTAAACTGAACCAATGCTTATAGAAATTCACTTGCTAACATTAACCTCTGAAAGTTTTCAAGAAACTACATCTGACTGACCATGTTCACTCTGAGGAAGCCATTTCTGATGAGCAAAAGTGAAGAGCAGACATTTTAATCAAATATAATCTGAAGGATTCAGTGCTTCTGAGAAGTTAACGAAATTAGTCATCCCAGGCAAATGTGTCAACTGTTTTTCTTGTACACAGTTAAATACCTCAAATCTGTTTGCTCTGACAAACTTTGGAGCTAATAATTGTATCTGGTGGAATTTTGTTGTTTTAAAAATGATAGATTTTCTGCAGCTTTTTTTCCAATAAAAAGTTCGGTGTTATGGTGGTGGTGTTTAGTCACTCAGTTGTGTCCAACTCTACAACCCATATACTGTAGCCCACCAGGCTCCTTTGTCCATGGTATTTCCCAGGTAAGAATGCTTCAGTGGGTTGACATTTCCTTCTCCAAGTAGGCATTCTCCAGTATTCATTTATGGTAGGCATTCTCAAAGATGGCCCCCAATGATTCCTGCCTCCTGGTATTTACTCTCCTGTATAATCGTCTCCACTTTATAGCAGGATTGGTCTCTGTGATCAATAGACTAGAGCAAAAGTGATGACATTAATATATTGCTGCTGAGATCAGGTTGTAAGAGATGTTTTGGGTTGTTCTCTTATATTTCCTGTCTTGTGGGTGACTCACTCTCGCAAAAGCTGGTTGCTATGGGGAAAACTTAGAAGTTCTGCTGGTGGGGAACTGGAGCCTCAGCCAACAGCCATGTAAGTCAGCTTTGAAGTGAGTTCTCCAACCCAGTCAAGCTTTCAGATGACTGCAACTCCGTGAGAAATCCCTCATCCAGCCAAGGTCTGAGATTATTTTTTTCTTTGAATTCAACCCCCTCCCCACAACCAAGGAGCCAACCCAAGCCCTGCCAGTGAAAGCACAGAGTCCTAACCACTGGACCACCGGGGAATTCCCCAGGTCTGAGCTTCTTAATTCTAAGATTCTTGATCTCACAAGCTATGTGAGTTAATACATTTTTCTTGTGTTAAACTCCTAAATGTTGGAATATCATTCCAAAAGGATATAAGACAAACATAACACTCCATTCCATTGAAGTGTGTGTGTCACTTCAGTTGTGTCCAACTCTTTGTGACCCCATGGACTGTAACTCGCCAGGCTCCTCTGTTCATGGGATTTCCCAGCAAGAATCCTAGGATGGGTTGCCATTCCCTTCTCCAGGAGATCTTCCCAATCCAGGGGTCAAACACCTTGCAGGTAGATTCTTTACCCACTGAGCCACCTGGGAAGCCCCTTTTCTAGATAGACATAGAATATATGTCAATAATTCATGAAAATAATCACTAACTTAATATCCTTTGTGCTAAGCAAAGTTGCCAGTAGTGGATTTTTTTTAAATTAATAAAATCCTTTAAAAAAATACAAAATCCTAAGACTGTCTGGGCTTTATTGCCACATAACATTTCAGTTTGTTTTCTATAAAAATTCAAGTAATTAAATCCTACAAAAAACCTGTTTTCAAAGAAAGAACTATTTCTCTCAGACCCTATGTGCTAGACTACTAACTGTTCTCCAGTTTACATTTTTTTCCTCCTGAATATTACCTGCATGGTCATGCACACATTTCCTACCTTGGAACTAAATGTGACCATGTCACTACTGTAGGCCAATGAGATGCGAACAGAATTGATGAGTTTAACTTTCAGTCTATTTGTGTTAGTTGCTCAGTCATGTCTGAGCATGTTTGTGACCCCATGTATTTGTAGCCCACCAGGCTCCTCTGTCCATGAGACTCTCCAGGCAAGAATACTGGAGTGGGTAGCCATTCCCTTCTCCAGGGGGTCTTCCCGACCCAGGGACTGGACCCTGGTCTTCTGCATTGCAGGCAGATTCTTTACCATCTGAACCACCAGGGAAGCCCTTAACCTCTAGTTCATTTCCTTAAAGATGAAGCCTCCTGCCCTCCACAGACTCTCCTGCTTTCCTTCTGCTCATTTGAAAACATGGTTGAAGCAAAGCCAGCACTAACTACAAAGACAATACTCTAAGAGAACAGATGAAGGAGCTGAAAGAAAAGAGAGTCCCTCAGTGCTGCAAGGCTGGAAGGCGTGGACTGTTTTATGAGAGAAAAATAAACTTACTTAACCAAGCATTTTTTGTTGTTGTTCTTGTTACAACTACCTATGTATCCTGGCGTATTTTTCTTTCAATATTAAATAATGGTGAGTGAAAGTCACTCAGTCTTGTCTAACTCTTTGTGACCCCATGGACTATACTCCAGGCCAGAATACTGGAGTGGGTAGCCTTTCTCTTCTTCAGGGGATCTTCCCAACCCAGGGGTCAAACCCAGGTCTCCCATATTGCAGGCAATTCTTTCCCAGCTGAACCACCACCAGGGAAGTCCAAGAATACTAGAGTGGGTAGCCTATCCCTTCTCCAGTGGATCTTCCTGACCCAGGAATTGAACCCAGGGTCTCCTGCTTTACAAATTCTTTACCAGCTGAGCTATTTGGGGCCAAATAGAATTTATTTACAAGAATTACTCCCTTAGTTGAACAGAACAATTTTTTTTTTTAGCAAGTTCGGAAATTTTTCTTTTTCTGAAAATTTGGGAACCCCAAATGTTAAAGGACTTCCAAAAAGGTTTTCTGATGTTATTTCTTCATCACCAATCCATATTCTCCTTCAGCTGCCACGTTGCCACTGTTGGCTACCTCCTCATTGTGAAACGGAATGAGCTGAGTCAATTCTAAACCCCAGAGCTCAGACTGTAGTCCTGACACCCTATTTCCAGTGCGATTGGAGGAGTCAAACTATGGTTTAGTTTCCCTCAGCAGCTGTCACTTCCTTATGAGGTCAGCACATTGC